GGTTCGCTAAATGCCTCGAACTTGATGCTTGAACGTTTGGTCGAACACGTTACCCCATTTGCTGTATGGAAGTTGACGACCTTGTCATCGTATGTTGGGAGATCCATTCTACTTATTCGTGTGGATGAAATGAGATCATGGCCACTTCCAGAATCCAATATGAATCTCTTATCTCTCTCTTCAACAGGAACAGTGATACACATTGTGTTGCCCCTTTTACCATATCGACCTTCAATATGCTGAACATAGTTTTCCACAAAAACTTCCCTGGACACCTCACCGTCCTCGACGTCGAGTCTGATCAGGATGTCCATGCTAGGGCCGACTATGACCAGGACTTCATCAATGTCACTGTGTTCACCCTTCTCATCGATCAGAATAGCCATTGCTTTCCCTCGGCTCGAAGCTAACCTGCATGAATAAGACCATTGCTCATCTTTCCTTATCTGATCAGTGGGCTTTCCAACTTTGCCATGCCCTTTGGAGACAGTCTGAGATTTCCGATTGCACTTCACGAAGTCCTTCTTTACGTAAGTTTGAACGTGAGTCTTAGACTCATCAAATCTGACCCTCTTCTTGACCACGTTCGATGCAATCTTATGGAACGTCTCTTCATCATCGCTCCAATCATGGACAAGTGCAGGAGTAGCTTTTGAGCTTGGTGCTTCGGTGTTGGGAGCAGTGTTAAATAGATGAGGATCGTGGCGTTTGTTGCATTTGTCTCCATACCGACACTTGCCCTTGGCCCAATGCCAGCATTGTTCATCAATCTTCTTGGTCTTGTTTGCCGGAGATTGACTTCTTGGAGTTCCTGGCTTCCGACCATTCCCTTTTGCGTTCTTATTCGCCTCGAACACCTTTTGATCATGACTGTATTCACAATCTTTGCCTTTTCTGCATGACTTCTTGATGAAATGGAAATGGCATGGGATCTTCTTCTTGGATCTGGGGCTGGTACTTCGGCTGTTTGCTCGATCCTTCCCTTTCCCTTGACCTTTTCCTTTTCCTTTCGCATGCTGTTTAGGCTGAGGTGATGGTAGAACTGGAGCTGCATCGGCCTTGGCCTTCGCCTTGGGCGCTGCCTTCTCCTTGGGAGTAGCTTTAGGCTTCGCTTTTGGATTTGCATCCGGTGCAGCGGCAGTTGGGTTCGGAGCAGGAGCTGAAGGTTTGCCGCCGCCTGCAAAGTCTCTCGCATACTTCTCTCTGGCTGCCACATGCTTGTCCTCTCTGATTCTGGAGATGTGCCTTTCGATGACATCCAACAGGTAGCGATAATTTCGTCTTTGGTCTCCTTCCATCCATGACTCGTACTGCTTGATGTCGAACATCATAAGACTCGAATTTCGAATCTTCTTGTATAGAGCGTCACGAAGCCAATCATCAGGAGGTACGTCATCCGGCATCATGTTTGATACCATCTCCATCCATTTCTCGTAGAACACTTCTAGGTTCGAGTCACCGAGATACTTCATCGATACGATGTGTTCCATGGTGAAGGATGTTTCTCGTTGACCTGGGGTTCTGAAGTGCTCCAGAATCATAGCCAAGATTTCCCGTCCCATGACATAGGTTCCTCTTCGGCTATGACTTTGTGTTCTCAATCTCAATTTGATCGCTACATGACGAGCAACATCACCGGCTTGGGCTATCACGTTTGACAATGCAATTGACAACTTGGCGTCGATGGACTGATACCGTTGCCCCCCACTGTCATTCAACAGCTCGATGTCAGGATTTGGTCGAATAGCCGGCTGTAGCCATGCTTCCCATGCGGCTTTATCCCCGTCATTTGCCGAAAGAACAACACTCTTGATGAGATCTGATTGCCAAACCCCAAGATTCTGTTGCTTTGGCCATGGGCTAACATAGACTTTGTCAGCCTCTCGTCTTGACATTCTCGGTACTTCTTCCGCAGTGTAAGCCGCTGTGGAGACATCATCTGCTGAATCGCGTTGTGATCCTCGAACTGAAGGCAAACCAGGAGGTTCAGGAGGTGGTCCTGGACCGTTAGGCCCAAAAGGGTCCGGAGGTCCATCAGGGTCAGGCGGACCGCCCCATCCACTCGGTGGCTTGTAATAGTCCCTCTCAGTTCCGCCAGCGATCTTGTTGTCAACCTCTTTCAGCAGATCAGCGATTCTTTTGCTTGATTGAGAATGCTGTTGTTGTTGAGGAGGTACAGCATGCCCACGATAGGAATGAGCCACATTTGTCTCATAAGTCAACTCCTTGTCGATCTGCGAAACCCAAGATTTCAGAATAGCGTTTTCACAGTTAGCCTCACTCACGTCATTCTCCAGTTTGTCGATGACCAGTCTGGATGCGAGATCGGAGTTGGGAATGCCTGCCGAATAGGGAAGTGTGTCAGGACTGATCCTAGCCATAGATGTTTCAGAATCCTTGAGACTTTTTCTCAGTTCATCTAAGTGACGTTTCATGTCAACAATCTCAGAATTCTTGATGCCAATCTTTTCATCCCTATCCTGGATTTCCCCCATGAACATGCATGATCTCTCATATTGTTGAACACCACTCGCCAATTTCAATTTTCGCTCACTCTCTAGTTCAGATCTTAGAGTTCGGACCTCAGCATTGGTGAGGGACGACGCCCCTACATCCGCAACTTCAGTCAACCTTTCTTTTAACAACAAGTTCTCTTGTAAACATTCATGAACTTCATGATCTAGATCCTGAACCCTGATTTGAGCGATCTTAGCTTGATTACGTAGATCTTCAACAAGCATCTCTTCGGGGCCACGACCGTCGGTCGTAGAACCCTGAGTCAACGATCTTCGTAACTTCGTGTTCTGCAACTTGATCTCATCCTTCAATTCGCAGTTCATCTTCTGCTCGTTGGCATAGAGCTCCTCATAGTGCTCTGCCCTTGCGATCGAGTTTGCACTAGCCTGTGATTCAAGCCTCAGGTGAGATATTGCTTCGGCCTCTTGGTTCCTGTATGATGCAATTCTTCTGACGGTATCATGTTCAGTGTTTCGATGCTTCAGATCACTTTCCAATTTGGCCTGATTTGCCTCGAACACCTTCTTCCTAGATTCTCTAGTGATCTCATCAATACTGCTCTCATACAGCTCGGCCTGTTTACGAGACTGAACCAAAGCTTCACTCAATAGCTGATTTCGCTCAGATAATTCATGAACTGCAATTGATTGTTGTTGGCTAATCACTTCAAGTTGATTACTAGAGAAGGATGCCATTTCAGATCGATTACGATATTCCATGATTGAGTTCTGGAAATCATTTTGCATTTCTTGACCCTCATTGTATAGTCGATTGGCAATATCGGTGGTTAAGACATTGGTTTGATGAAGTTGTTGTAGTCTTGCCTCCGTATTACCCAGTAGTCCTTGAAGGTGATGTACTTCATCCTTGTACTCCTCCTGGATCTCCATACCACGTTGATGGATCCGTCGTGCACCATGTTCCATTAGGGCACCTCGGCGTTCAAGGTCTTGGATGCGTATTGTTGCACCTTCGTCTTCCTGAGATGCTACCATTAGTTCTGCTTGATATTCTGCAACCTCATTTGCGGAACATGACAATCTATGATTGAGTGCATTGACCTCATCAAATACATTCTGATTGTGTTCCCGAAGATACTCAGTGAATCTGATCTCGATGTCATGAATCAGTTGATCCCTGGATGCAGCGTATGCTTCCATGTTGTTCAGCTGATTACGTAGGGATTGACATTGTGCCCGTAGTTCCTCTATCATGGCAATAGGTTCACTAGCCACAGAAGTATCCGTTGATCTCCTCTTAACACGACTATCCCCGGTCCTCTCACCAATTCGGTCGGTCACGGCCCTGGTGGATCTGTCCCTTGGAGTAGTACGTCCTCGAGATGGTCGATGCCCTTGGCGGACAACATCACTCCGAGCACTGTTTCGAGAAGATCTAGGTGTACTTTGGGTGGATATTCTTCGTCTGTTTGATGTGACTTGCCATCCGGACTGTGTAGTTCGGGTAGGGCGTATCCCGCCACTGTCTGCCGTGTCGCCAGGGGAAGATTGATTGACCTCCTCGACCGGCATAGCAGCGTTCTCATTGAAGGTAAACTGCGTGGTGCGCGAATCTCCGCTGCCGCCTTGCATCTTTGCGATGATGAGCTGATTGGTCCTTTGCGTCCTCAATCAATTGCTCAGACGGCCCGGCTACCAGCACGCAGGTACCACTCTCCCGGCGGGAGAAGTGAGCCCTACGGCTGATAACCTGTGAACAAATTGATCCTTGTTCTGGATATCCTTCGGTTGTAGTTCCCTATGTGCTGATAGTCAGAGCTGTCAAACCATGCAGCAGCGGAGCGCGTTATTTTGGCCTCGCAGTGGGTCTTGAGCCATAGTGGCGTCCCATGCAAGAATGTGCACATGCTCAGCATGTGTGACTACTGTGTTATCTCGTTCCCCTTCGCACATCCCAATGCCCTAGGAGTAAGTCTCACAGTACTTGAGGAGTGCCAAACCTACTATATTACAAACCGAAACAACATGAAACAACCATGCCTTTAAACTTTTAACTCTCTCAACTGTGTCTTATGTTCTATGGAGCTGAGGGTCTTCAACGTCAGTGAGAACTCGTTTGCTGAGTTCTTTGTAGTCTGGATCCGCACTTCGCCCAGTTGACACATGCGGGCAGAGGATACGAAACCTGCAATGGAAATCATTCAATTGGTGCCATTTCCGTCCAGGACTCATCCTCTTCAGTTGCAGCTCAAGTGCCTGTTGAAGAACTCCTTGAACGGTCGTCGCACAGGGTAGCCTGCCTCACATCTGATAGCGCTGGAATATTAATCCATCTATGCTAGGATGATTTATCGATGCTAGGATCATGACTCACGACGGTCCTTTCCAGATGATTCTAGTCTAGATTCGGGATGATTCGGGGAGGTTACAACGAGCAAATCAGTAATCAGGCGTGCAGATGGGAAAAAACATGTGTCTCCCTCAGTCACCTCACACATAATGCCAAGTTCAATGCCAAGCTACTCTCCTGATCCGGATTGACTCTAGCATGCCCGCGCACCGCAGCTGTCGCTGAACATCCAGAGAATCCATGTCATGATCCTTGATGCAAGTATCACGATAAACACTGAGGACAGGAGCATTGAAGGAATGAACAGGAACAAAAACAAAGACTGAGGTTGACTTGTATAGCCTGTATAACATTGTATAACTGTATAACATAGCCATTCAACCACAACCTGACTACCCAGCCTGCTTTTTGCCGTTGGGCTTTATGCAGCGAATGTAGCGCGGATTCGTGCCTCGCAGTCCATTTCTACGGGCATCAGATAGCCACAGCCTCCTCAAAAAATTGGTGAATTGTTTGACCATGCTTGGAGAAAGTGATCAAATTATTTAAATTTGGATCATTGACTGATTTACGTTGGTGTTTCATTCGCTCTGAGAAAGCTACGATTCAGGTCTTCCACAAGCCGATCCAGCTGCTGCCGGAACATCATGCTGACTGTGATGTTCTGCCTTGGCCAAGGGGCTGCTGTCTCCACATGCTGTCAGCTCTGTGCGCTTTGTCTAGCAGCCTAGCACTATGGTATAGTCTACCCTTCTTGTGACGGTCCTGGTCCATTTATGTCCTTGTGGATCCTCTTCATATCCCCTCATCCTTGTCACTCTTCTCTGTATATTTTGATGTGGCTCAAATGTTAAATTGTCATTAATTTCATTGAATTGTCATTCATGTTCATTCTATTTCTGCTTTGGGCCTCTAAGTTTCTGACTTGGCGCGCTGGCTCGAATCTGTTGCACCGCGCCTGGGTGGTGGCGATCCTCCTGATCTCCCTTGAGCTTGCGCCTGCCGCTGAGTATGGACTCTGGGTGGCAGCCACACTGGACGCTCAGTGGCAGTGGCGATCAGTGGTCCACTTTGCCGCCTGTGTGTCTGGTGCAAAGCGAGGATCTGAGAAGAGCCTGAACCATGGAGGACAAGCGTGCACATGTAGACAGGAAAAATGATAGAAATGCATAGAAATGTACTATCGTGTACTGTATTAATCCTCATTTGCAGCCAGGTAACGTGCGGGCAATAGGCATTGAGGATGATTTCAATAGATTGATAATGTCCTTGCAGCGATCAACTGAAAGGGCTACATAAAGAATTGACCATTTCCCTGCATAGGTGCCACTGTCTTCTGCCAAGGTTCCGCATGCAACTTGTCGGTATTCTTCCTCGGATGCCATGAAGCCAGGACGATCAACACTGCTATAACCCCCTCCACCACCATCACTAGAACAACCACCGCCGATAGCAACAACGGCTTTTCACAAATTGACACTCAGCTCACATCTTGCCAGGTCCAAGGCTCTCAAGAAATGAAAGAACCTTAGTCATTGGAATATGAATTCACAATTGACTGCTTCGGGCCATCTTGGAACAGCAACTCATCGTTGAGGCTCCAGCATCATACACCACCTCCCCCGCATAGTGCGCCACGGCAAAATTTGTCGACTTAAAGCGAGAGGTCTTGTAGACCTCACGTGCCAGCGCATCTCAAAAAGTGAGACTACTTGAGCTATGTACCTGTGTGAATTCTCTGATGGTTTGCAAGGACATTCTCTCATTTGGTGACTCATTTGTGCGTTGGGCTCGTGACCACTTTGGATGACTTGAATGTGCTGTGGATCTTGCCTCAATTGTCAGCGAAAGGCTGAGCTGGCTCAGCACTTGGGAAGTGAAGATGGGAAGATGACGGGATGTCTGATGATGTCTGTAAGATCTGAAGCCGATAAGACAAGCTGTGACAAGCAGCTCAAGCAGGTGTCGTCTGTAGCCTTTGGCATGCTGCACTCCGAGTCGAGGATGTTGAAGAGCCCAAACCTGGCAAAAGCTTGGCCGATGGCACAAATTGAGTGTAGCAATCTGTAGCAAGCTTGGAAAAGAAGCTGCAAATGATCTGCAAATGCTGCGTTCTCTGAGGTCGCTACGGCTTCTTTTCCAAGCTGTCAATGATCTCTCGGTTGTCTTGCCTTGGCAGCTTAGCACAGAAACTACGGCAGCGGTTTAAATCACGTGAAGGCTTCAGAGGACATCAGCCCAAGCATTACCTCCACGTTCTGATGACAAGATTCCACTCGATATGACTCCAGGATATGCCCTCCTCTGTGTACAGGCGCTGTTCCATGGTGAACCTCAATCACAGACGCAGTAGGCAAGATAGGCAAGATGGGCAAGTGTCATTTATCAAACATGTGACATGTTCACTGAGCGACATCATCCAAGACCGATAGGCTTGAAGTTAACTCAAGTTGGAACTACATAATGATCATAATGGCTTTCAAGGGAAGCGAGCTGGAACTGCAAGCTGAGTGTCATGTGAGAATTGAAGTGCTGTTGCAGCTTCTCGTTCGCAAAGTTGATGCAAAGCTGCCTTATTCACATATGAAAACATCCTGGCGCCCTACTCAAATCATCCAAGTATCTCCAAACTCGAGTTCATATGAGCATGCATGGGCTAGATCTGGGTCAGGTAGCTCAAAAGAGTTCCAGTCAAACACCTCAAACCCATAAATGTCCAATATTCCAATCTTCTTCATGGCGTCCTTCCAGAAAGTAGCATTGCTAAGTGTGGTGAAATAAAACGAAAGATGCTGAAAATCACATGACTGACGCCATGCAAATGGAGACAATACGATACAATGGTATGGTATGACACGGCAACACGTATCAACATGTGGCATCATCGTTCGGTTATCTTCGGGTCCTTCTTGCTGCCTATGACATTGCCAGCTGTGCTCTGGTTGATGCGCCACACAAGCCAATCAAATAGTCGAGAATACCTCAATCTGGATGCTGACTTGCGAACAACAAAGAAAAAAGAAAAACTGCACGGCTCCCATCGACAGGTAGAATCTTCACAAACTTAACGCTGCTGGGAAGCAAATGCTTGGCCATTGAGTGCCGAGTGTTTGAGGAGCTTGCAGGATCCTGCAGCTGATCGACTCTATTCCATGTCACGTTCATTTTGTTCAGTCGCCTGCTGCATGTTGATGATCTGCTTGTTGAAAGGATCTTCCAAGGTCGTGTACCTTGACAATAAAATGGACGCTCACAGCTGTGGAGCGATGGAATGAATTTCGTTTGCTCACTTCAGTGAAAAAATGTGCAATGACATATGATATAATATAAAATGAAACCGATGCGCCGAAGTACTGAAATGTCCTTGTGAAGTCATCCCTGGAAACCTGCAGGAGTTCGCAAATCTTCTCTGCTAGGGCTGCATCGCCTATGAGGCTGCCATCGTTTCCCTCCTGAGGCGATGAAATCGAGAAACAGAAACAAATGGTTTGGCCAAGCATGGCCAAGCGTTCATTATGCAAGTCCGGCAAGGTCATGGCTGGTTTATGGCTCATTCATGGCAACGTGCACATGATGCACCTAATGCACATGCAACACAGTCGGAAATGCATTCGCCGATTTCAGCTCCATCCTGGAAGTGCATGTCTCCAAGCAAAAGCACCTGCGAGCGAGTGTGAGCAATCATCTTTTTTTTCCGCTAACACGTGCTAGTACAAAGCCCACGAGTGTATAGTGTCATCCCTCCTCGTTGTACAGTGCTTTTAACTTGACTTGATCATACTTGATCCCTGAATCCTTGCAGATATCTTCTACAAGTTGAATATTTGCAGCGGCTTTGATCCATCTTTATGACACCGTTCTGGCCGAGGGACAGCAGCAACTAGCTGAAAAACCGAACGCTTCTCATCTGAACTGAAGCCAAGGCCGTCCATGCATTCCAAAGCTTCCTGCAGCCGATGTCATTGTTGAACCGATTGAAAAAATGTGGCAGTTTTAAAATGTTTTAATATGTTTTATAAAACTTTAATCCGTTTTCGACCTTGGAAGAAAAAATGACCACCGGATTCGATCAGCTGTCTGGGTCCTGAAGCATTTCAGCATCATCAACTCCGGGGATGTGAGTGCAAACCTAAAGTATGCAGATTATGCAGCATACGCAGAACATGACCTCTGAATATGGTACCAAATCAAGTGCCAAATCGAGTGCCATTTCAATTCAAAAATTGTGAAGAACATATATATATATGTATATATATCATCTCCATTCATCTCCTGGATTCGTGTAGATACTCTGGGTCGAAAGCTAGCTCTTGCAGCCACGTTGCTGAAGAATACGCATGTTCTGATGCAGACTGAAGCCCAAGGGAAGGTCCAAGTTCGGGGAGCATCGAAGCACCAGCGCAAATCTGGTAGAAGACCTTGGGATTTCAGTCACTGGATCTTCCATGCAACGAACTGTATCAAATATAAATAAATATAATATCAAAAATTATCAAAATATCACGTTTTAAGCAGTCTGCAAGTACTTAGGCCACCGCATGGTATCCTCTTTCATCTGGCTGTTGTTTCACCTCAACTCATCGAACTCATCGATCGTGTATCACTGTGCCGATGTTGCTTCGATCTAATGAGCCAAAGTACGATCCGGCTCTTCTCCAGTAAGTAGTTGGAGATCCGAGCGCTCGTCAGCTTCCCTGAGGGATCAAACCTCGTTTAGAAATGAGCCATGGCATCAGTAAGCCGGTTTGAAGAAATGTGGGGCAATATGGATCAATATGGCACATAATGACACAATCCCTATAATCCCTTTACTTTCTGATGAAAAATGGGACCAAGGTACTCTATGTCTATGAACTTGCCGAAGCGAGAAGAATTGTCGTTGCGTATCGTTTTGGCCTCATCTGCACTAACAGCGAGTAGCCAATCTTTGAACGGTCAAAGAATGGCAAGGGCCATGCGGCCATGCGAATAATTAATATCTTAGGCTTTCACATTGCCAAAAGCCTCCAGGATCGGATTGGACTTGAGGACCTGCTCTTCAATGCTGGTTTTCTCCGTCTCATTGCCTGCATCTTCATTGAACAAAATGGGGCAATGCGCTTTTGAACATCCAAAAGGCACGGATGATGCAAACGAAGCAAACAGTCCTGAAACCCGTTGGAGGTTTGCGAAGTACCTGAGCAACCCGAGTTGTGAATTCATGATTGGGTTTTTTTGCCACCAGGTTATTGGAGCTGAAAGGCGACACAAAAACTCCGCAAAGTTGCATGAGGATCTTCTTCGTAGCCTCCGTCTTTCCAGCCCCACTCTCACCAGAAATGATGATGGACCTAAGGCTCACTGGCACTGCTTAGTTGGACGCCACGTGCCTGTCATCTCAACATGCCGTGACCGTGGTCTGAGTCAACCAAGCGACTGATTTCGAGCGTCATTCAGCATGGCTGCATATGAAGCAGCAGCCACCGAGAACAAATGAGGAGGAAGATTTGCTTCCTCGCCACTGCCTGGCAAACCCATGGGTGGTGGCGGAGGGGGACTTGCTCTTGTTCAAGCACCTGGTTTGTCTGCGCGCACCACCGACGTAAGGAATTGTGCGTTTAGTCTTTAACATCTTGACATATCTTCACCACCAGTCCTGCTGCTGCAGACTGCTCTCGGTAAAACTTTTGCTTCGCTTCTGAATAAAGGCCAGCAAGGTTTTGGAATGGATTCACCTGAGATGGTGCTTTGACATGCTTTGTAATTTCGCATGTTCTGAAAGCAAGAGAGAACGGGTCGGTTCGTAGCACCCAAAATGCACCAAGAGTCGGAAATCAGAATCGGGCCTCAGGCGGTAAGACATGGTAAAACCCCATCCTGACCCGCCTTTCTTGATCAAGTGACAAGTTGCCTCAAACAAACGACTTATTTTAATACACAATATGATAATAAAATATACTATTATACTATACTATGCTATACTATACTATATTATGCTATACTATCTATAATATATCTATCCGTGACCAAGCTGCTGCCGATTCCTGTGTAGATGTTATCGTTGAAGTATCTGGAGCGTACATTGTGCAAGAGCGCTCCCTCATTGAAGTCGCCCAGTGAAAGCCTGAGACTAAAATGTCTGGAAGAACTTGAGGATGCCGCGGAATCGCAGTACGACCCGGACGACCCCGACCCAGTAAGAAAATACAAAACCATCGAAATACATAGACATCATTAGACATCATTAGACATCATTAGACATCATTAGACATCCAAGAAACAAATCATCGACTCCTTTCAAGCAATTGGGATCCACAGGTCGCGCATCCTCCTGCGACACCTCGAACTTGGCTCCCTGACAGCTGGATTGGTGTGGGCTGAAGGCTGTGCTGAGTGGATCCAGTTGAAACCAGTACATTACATAGACCGACGGTGACCGATGCAAACAAAGGAGCTTAGAGCTTCGTTTTTTATTCCTTGCATCCCACTATGCACAGTTTCTAGGACATGATGACACCAACAAAATCAACAAACTGGAAACACTCAGAAACCACCACCCTTGAACCCCATGCAGCAAAGCGTTGCGATGAAGCATGGCTGGCATTGGCTGGCCTATTTCAGGCTATATATCAAGTGCTAATAGCACCACCGCCACCCGAGAGCACCACACAAATCTAGTGTGCCAATGTGTTTCGAGCCCTTTTAGATTCGCACTACTTGCATCTACGTGCTAACTTGATATCACTTGCACATTTTTATGTTAATTTCTTTATGTAACTTTATGTCATCAATGAGGCTCTGATTCTCGAAAAGCTGCTGTTCCCGAAGTGTTCTAGATACTTACTTACAAATTCCGATCTCTGTTGAGTCTTTCATTTCATCTTCGAAGCTTTCGTCTTTCCTCGTTTCAGCGCTGCTCTTGCACTAATTTACTCTTCCTTCTTTGGTTACCTTCCTGCTGTTATCGCATCTCCTTGCATGTGTCCCTCTTTCTTTCCTTTTTGCCTTCCTTCTTATTCGAACACTGTTTCCCATACATTGGATTACATCAGCGCTTGAATAGCGTTTTTGCTCTTCTTGACAAGTCTTGCATCCGCTGCATCCATAATTCATCATAATTCACAAGTGAAGCGAAAGTCAGAATCGACAAGGTCTCCAGCCTGGTCGTCTACTACAATGTACTTTCCTTCAGGACCAGAACTTGTAGAAACTGTCACGAAAAGATCCCATGTCATTATACTTGTCATAGCACATATGAGACATATCACAAAGCAGCTGTAGGCGTGCCATTTGTTCCAACGGAATCAACTCTGCCAGGTGCCCAGCCCTGGCGAGATTTGAAAAGACTCCATGATTAGGGAATCCAACTGGGGTAGGAAAAGGGCTCGGAAGGGAATGTCAAGGCTGCACCCATGACCCAAGGACCATGGACCTAGTCAATGTTCATCAATTTTCACCCTGCCTCGGTCGGATGATTTTCTATCCAAACTCTGGCGCCAGAGTTGCCCGAGAGGACCTCCATCTGTGTTGATTTACTATCTACTTGTCTACGCACCTGATGGATCCTCAAGATCATGGTCAACATCACAAGTTCACCCTTCATGTCCAAAATCACAACACCAAGAATCCTAGTCCTAGACTCTTACTGTTACTATGCATCGCTTGCTGTATGCATTTTGGCATCAGTCCAGTCAACAATACACTAGCATGATCATTTTGCTTGCAAGGACATATACCTGGTATACCTTTCCACGAGCCCGACAGAGGTTGTTCGATGTGAACATTGACGAACATGATTTGAACATTGCCCATCTCATCTCGGGTGTGTCACACTCCAAACTGAAATACACTGAGTCGAGTTCAGCGCAGACGTCTAGGGACTACTTTTTGCATATCCCGCGCAAACGGGCGAGTTTTGCGTTTGACGGGGTTGCGTCTTGCAACCCAGCAATGACATGTGCTGCCGCAGTGAGTTTTTTTCAGAAGATACAAGCCATAAAGACCCTCCCTATCTCTCCTCCATTTAGATCCATTTGGCACATTCACGGCCTTTACAGCACATCTGCATGAACTGCTCCAGCACTTTCCTGGAGCTGGTGACACCTGTGAAACAAACTGGACTAAGGCTGTGATCGCCATGACCAAGGAGTGGTTGCAGGGCTGTATGGACCTGGCCCGTTGCAAATCTGTTCTGCAGGGCTCAGACTCAAGGACCTAAGGATAGTGAAGACTGAAGAGTAAAGAAAAATTGAAAATATTCAAGGAAATTCAAGGATATTCAAGGAGTAGTACAGCATCACCATGACATGCCCTCTGCTTCCAGAATCAAACACTAGGCTCGGCCAGCACCCATCAGCCTTGACGAGAAGGTGGTGAGGCTAGCTCTGATCTGGAAGTGTAACCAATGTCCTCAGGAGCTGAACCAAACTCCGGAAACTCTGGAGCTCGAAGCTCAGCACATCTGAGGCTGCAGCGTCCAAATCAACTGCTGCATGTTTCTGCTTTAGCTTCTCCACTTCCAAGCTGGCAAACAACAAACAACAAACAAACACAACAAACCCGTCCAATTCAAGGGTTCCTATGCTGAGGCCCTCCTTACTGTATCGCAAAGCATGGAGATTCTTCAACTCAGCCTGGCAGACCTGTCTGTCAGCCTTTTCTTCTCCTCCTTAGCAGCTGTTCGATGGGGAAGAGGTTGGTAACTGGTAACATGTGGAAACTATAATAGCGTGTCTGTGTCAGTAAGGTCTGAGGGCCTAGGGTCAAGCAGAAACAGAGATCAACAGAAATTAACAACAAGCAAATCGATGCTGGAAGGGCCTGCAGCTGTGCATCTCGCACCTGAAGTGTTCACAAAGTCGAAACAACAAGCAAAATGGCACTGCCTAGCCTCTCGACAAAAAAGAAACAAACTGTAAACACCTAGACCTAGCAGTGTAGCAGTCTAGCACCTGCTCACGTTCTAGCGCCAACAGTTGGCGCTCCCAAGCTTGGTCCAAACCTTGAAACCAACAAAGTTCAGGAGAACTTCGGAGCACGCAAACAGCTTTGCCATTTGCACTTTGGGAACGGACTTCTGAGGTCACTTTGTGCCTCTTCGACTTGAACCTGGACGAGCTACCAAGGTCAGATCCACTTGAATTTGCACTGGCGCCAACCCTGCGCTGCCCCTGAACTTCTCAAGTACGGAAGAGTGACAGGCCTGAAGCATTGCCATCTGCTGCGTTCGATTGAGAATTTCTTGCTCTGACGCTTGGATGCATTCCAGGAGTTTTCCAATGCGGCCTTGCCAACGACAAAGGCAAGTCCAAGCACAGGATTGCACACATGACTAATCGCAGGCGAAGAATTTGAGGCGCTGGCGATCATAGCTAGACATGACCTGCGGCGCTATGTCGCAAAACATGCCGAACATGCAGAACATGCAGAACATGCAGTGTGGAAGTTCCAAATGTCAGTCAAATCGGAGTTAGATTTGCACCTGTAGAAGGGCCACAGCACTGCTTCTGGCTTGAGCTGATGGCGGCCGCACAGGCTTTGCGACTCTTGCCTCACAGCCGCCCATGTGTTAGCTATGAAGGCATGTGAATGCATTTGATAGCTGTGAGTGTCAGGATGAGTATGCTGATGCGATTGCTGTACAAACACCCGGCATGCTGACATCCACCAATAATCAGAACTGGGTTGTATGACTTGGAACTTGCACACAAGAGGCTCAATCAAACCAGTTGAGTCTCTGAAAGGAATTGGATTTCCTTGCGACGTTGTTATTCAGTCACTTGTATTCCATGTATTCACACACCAGCGACCAACGATTCAACATGATTCAACTATATTCAATATATATTCAATTGATTCAACCAAAAGCAAGACGGCCTCATAGTCGTACGGCTCGATTGGCTCGATGCATTTCTCTCTGGGCTCCTTGGTCGCCTCAAGCGCGGCCTCCAGGGAACCATCCACGAATGCTGTCGACAGCGAATCCGCCAGTATCGACTTGAGATTGTCCAGATCACCTGTGGCCGTGGCAGCCGTGGCAGCCGTGGCTGTGTCGGCTTGATTTCCACTTTCAGTGCTTGCTTCCAGAGCAGCCTCAAGACTCCCATCAAGGAAGGCTTCCGAAAGTTGCTGGCCAACTTTATTTCGAAGCTCATCCGAATCATCCAGGTTGCCGAGACTTTGAGCGCTCATAGAGCCCACCGTTGCTCCAGCAATGCTTCGAGATCCAGTTGCCGCAAGAGCTGCTGACAACGAGCCATCTGAAGCTGACTGCTCCATACGAAAAGCAATTTTCTTTCGCACTGCTTCGACGTTGGCCTCAGCCACTGATCTTATGGCAGCTTCTAAAGTGCCATCTTCGCAAGCATTCTCCAATCGTTTCGCAACCTCATGTCTGAGGGCTTCTTGTTTCTTTTCTGCTTGGCTGGACAACGCAGCTTCAATTGCCCCGTTGGCACATGAAGCAGCCAGCAATTTAGCAGCTTTCCTGCGGAGCTCATCCACATCTTCTCCACTTGACTGCTGAGGCTGAGATAGCTTAGTTTCGCTACTGGGGACTCTGTCCAGGTCCTGCTTTTTTGTTTGTTGCCGCCTGTTGAGACCATCTCTCAAGGCTGCTTGCAGAGAACCATCATTAAGTGCAGACTCCAAACGACACGCAACTTTGCAGCGCAAAGCCTCCAAGCTGTCGCTGCCCTGATTTTCCTCCTTGCCTTTGGTAGCTCGGGAACTCAATGCGCTTTCCAACGAACCATCCTGAAGCGCAATCGTCAAAGCATCAGCTGCCTTGCTTCGCAAAGCTTCTTGCGTCGCGGCTTGCTGGGCCTGCCTGCTGGACAGCACAGATTCAAGCAGCCCATCTTTGCAAGCTGCCTCCAGTTCAATTGCGGCGTTTTGGCGCAGACCTTTCAAATATGAATCACGCAACCAAACAAAGCTGGCATCCAACGAGCCCTCCATGTCTGCTGCCAGAAGCTGATGCGCTAGTCTGAGCTTCAGGGGCTCATTGTCATCCACTTCCACTGACTGAGGGCCGTCTTGCTCAGCGATGATAGTCGCCGCGTCCTTGCCAAGATGCCAAGAGAAGAGGGGCCGAATGGACGTGGTGATTCCATGTGATTCCATGTGATTCCGCCATATATCTTCCCCCTATTCGCCTTCTGCAAAAGATTTGAAGCTGAAATAAGAACGCCTAACTCTGTGTCCGGAATTGGGTGTTGGTCACTGCAAGCAGCTTGAGAATGGCTGTACGACTTTCGTCCATTCTCCGCCTCATCATGTTCTGCGACGCGGGGCCTTACAGCCAAGCTCTGAACTCTGAACCAAACGTGATCTACCAAAGTGCTAGGACCCAGCGATTCCAGACGGCGGGGCCCGAAACCCGCGCCTTCTTGATGAGTTCGATCATGTTCAATGAGTTTGTTTGAATGATTTGAATGTACAGAAAGGTTTCGTGGAAAAAGGTGCGTTCCGCTGTGGTGGCACGAATATGTTGAAATCTTAACGTCTTTGTCCTTTGATGCTACTATTCTGGTTTTGTTCAAGGTGTTCATCAAAATTCTCCTCAATTCAACTTCCATTTTTTAAATACCTGACAACCCTTACAGGGGATTGCGAGTGTTTTTCGTTCTCAATTGCGTCCGTTTTCAGTGAGCCAAGTTGTATATCTACATACGCCTTGCTTGCTGCGATGAGTTTTGTCTTTGACAAAGGCCATGTAGCATCATCTGGGACAGCAAGTACAAGAGAAGAGTCGTTAGCGTAGCATCATCTGAGACAGCAAGTACAAGAGAAAAATTGTTAGCGTATGTCGGCGTATGTTAGCGTAGCATCATCTGAGAAAGCAAGTACAAGAGAAAAGTTGATATCGTAGCATCATCATGCATCATCAGTCTGCAAGCACAAGAGAAAAGCCGTTAGTGTAGCATCACTTGTGTGCAATTGCAACAGAACGTTATTGCACCCCCCCACCCCACCCCACCCTGACTTAGCATCATCTGAGCCTGCAAGCACAAGAGAAAAGATGTTAGCGTAGCATCATTTCTGTGTGCAAGTGACGTAGCATCATCTCAATCTGCAAGTACAAGAGAAGAGTCGTCAGCGTAGCATCATTTCGTAGCATCATCTGAATCTGCAAGTACAAGAGAAGAGTCGTTAGCGTGGCATCGTTTCTGTGTGCAAGTGCAGCAGAACGCTATTGCACCCCCCAACCCAACCCGCCCACCCCACCCTGCAAACAAAATGGGCAAACCCCCGGGTCTACATAACATGTTGCATGTTGTGCATTTATGGGGCTTGATTTCCACTTTGCAAGTCTGACGGTAGAGTTGCAAGACCAATGGAAGGTGGAAACCGATGGGATTCGCGTGCTTCCGCTGACATTTGTTGAAGTTCTTGCATGCGCATGCACGCCAAGCTCGCAACAAATCATTCTTCTCCAATTGCTTTCCACAACTTAAGCTGCTAATAAGACAGTTTGTGCCAGTTTGCGCGCATGTTGTCAGCATCTCAGTCCTTTTCCCGCATCAGGCAGAATGCACGCCCATGAGTGAAGCGCACGAGGCATTTAAGGGTGGATACTGTTCGAACATTTCGTTAAATGTCAGGCCTGCACTGCGCGCTGATTGATTCATTGACAGTGACATACTCGTAGTTTCGCACTTGCATTGTCTGAACATATCTGCACGTTTGTTTCGTTCCTGTAGAGTCTACAGCGCTGGAGCTGAGACTCGAACGGATTGGCACCGCTGCTTTCTGCAATAGCCTGCGGGGGAGCATCAATCGGAACAGGTCGGAATCAGGATGAAAGATGATGAAAAAGGATGGAAGATTGGATTTGACAAGGATAAAAGTTCATTGACTTCAGGGAGCTCTGATGCTGCATATTCATGCATATTCTGCATTATGCGCAGGTGCCTTCGCCAAACCTCCACGGTCCAAGCTAGACTCCAACTGCAGACGCAGCACTGCCTGCGAAAGCTGAGGTGCTTAGCAATACGCAGTTCCACCATGTTCGATCATGAGAATCATCAGGCAATCATCAGGCATCAGGCCTTCTCATCATCAGCCATCTCTGGCTCAACAAATACTTCGTCCAATGCCCTCTGGAGGCTTCCATCTTCGGCTGCGGAAGCAAGTAGCTCTGCCAGCCTCAACTTTAGCCGCTTGAGTTCCAAAAGTGTTTGCAACTAGAGGCAAAGACAGTACGCTGAAAAATGAGTAAATACATGGAAGTATCGCACCAAAGGTGTGTCAGGTGGAGCATACATGTATGGGAGAGCCAAAACTTTAGGGCTTTTTGTCGTTGAAGTCACAGAAATACGATGCAATCATTGAAAGCCAGTCGCATCAGCCGCAGCTTCCAAGAGTCTCCCTGAGCTTCTTGCCTGGCACGTTGCATCTTTTTTGTATCTTTATATATCTATTTGTTTTTTAAGAAGGAAGGATGTGCAGTTTTGCTTCTCGGCCTGCTGCCCTCGGCCTGAAATGCACATTTCCAAGAAATGACGGCCACAGAAAGCCGCCATATGAATTACTCATAATTACTCGAAGTCTGCTGCCTTGCTTTGACCTCTGCCCTCTTCGGCCTGTCACACAAGAGAAATCAGCATTTATATCATTAATCAGCCTACGAAAGATGTCCGTCCTAACAGCCCCCTCCCAATTTTTCCTCAGGTCTTGGCTAATTTTCGTTCAGACCTTCCTCTCTGCAGCGCCTGTCTCTGCAAGGACGTGAACGTATGCTCTAGTCAAACTTGTCAGCCACAAATCTCTCCAGCCACGGCACCTGAATTTTTACTGCAGCCTTCTCCTGTTGAAGTATGGCAGCAGCCTGCACAAAAGAAACACTTTGCTGAACTTTTGGACCTGGAACTGTTCAGCAGAGACTGAAGGTAGTAGGCATTTACTCTATGCGAAGCTCAGGTCTGAACATCCTCCAGGCTGCTCATTTCTGATGCAATCTGAGATTGATCGGACACAATTCTTGCCACTGAAAGAATTGCTAATGCAATATACACGATGGGAATAATTATGTGAAACATGTCTCCTGTTTCAATGAATTGCTATGCATGACTGCCAAGAAGCCATCAAAGCACCAGCCAATCGCTGCATTGTGTCCAGAGGCGCCTGTGGTGCTCGTTCTGCTAACATCAGATGTTCTGCTGTCAACTGAGACTGCGGCAATATCCACAGGCGGTCCACAGGATGTGTCCACCTGGATGTCGAAATATGTTTGACATGTTAAAACTTGAAACGGTTTGGTTACTATGACATAGTCTGACTGGTTCCTAGTGTCTGATGCCGAGTTACTGCCGAGGAAAAGATGTCTCGCAAGGTGCTTCCTGCAGCCCGATAAGCTCTCCCACATGGAAAGTCAGGTCTCAACATCTGCATCTTCCTGACCTGCTGCATCCCAACTGGCAGTCTCTGGATCCACAGGTGTCAAATCACCCCTTGGTGGCGGTCCACGTGCCAAGGCCTGCCGAGCAAATGCACCGAGCAAATGCAATTTCACTGCTGTAATAGGCTCTAAGTGTACTTGTAGCTGGAGGCCTTTACATGGTCTTTAATTCCACGGCCTTTTACCAGTTCAATCGTGCTTCTCATTCCCCATGCAAACAGTTCAGCTGCCTCTGCAACAGGAATTCCCTGCTCCATCAAGCGTTCAGTGCGCACGAGCTGTGCAATGCCCTCAACCAACTGATTGACAGTCTCCTACCGAGTCAGCCAGTGATGCCAGTGATGCCAGTGATGCCAGGGTCAGTGGAAGTCCCACCATCAAAAAACGTCATGTCCCTCTCCCATGCAGCACCGCTCTGTTGCTGTGATCGCGGGTTGCGAAATTTCAGGTGGGAAAGCGAAGCGCATGTATATATCCTCTTCAGAGATCATCAACTTGTCTCGGTTGGATACCTAGCAGCGACATCCAGTATCACCCGGCAGCAAGGTGTGGATAAATCAAACACGAATCAGGATCAGGATGTATTAAATCCATTGAAGCGTGAATGCAAATGATAACTGTGTTGGGTGATACCATGCACCTCCACCAAATCCGCCATTCGGTCGCCAGACCTTAGCCAGCCGCTCTTTGGTCATGCCAACTAATATCAACTAATGCCCAAACATGCCTGCACGTTCCCCTCCTAGCTCAGGAATCTGGTCCTCTTACACCTCCCACATACAGATTCGAAAACCCACAATGACACGCGCACACGCACACAATTACTCAAAAATCGGCCACAATCAGCCAAATAGCTCGCTGATGGCACCCTTCTCCACCAAATTGCGAGCAGCACACCACTCGTGCAGCTCCGCCTCGGACTCCAGACTGTGGATATGGCAAGTATTGTAAAGCTATGCGAATGCCATATGCTCTATATAGATGTATCCACAATTATCCACACATATACAACGTTCCCTCCGATCTGCCTTGCAGTGCTTGAGCAGTGGAATCTTCACAAGCACACTGACCTGAAGCAGCGCTAGAAATTCTACGGAGCTTCTGTAGAAGATTCCGGGAGATGTTTCACTCTTTGCTTCATACGATTCATATGCTTCGCTGTGCTTCATTAAGGCGTCATTCTGCTTCATGAACATGGTGTCAGGGCCTCCCTCACGACTGTCGGTGACTTTTTTCAGCTAACAATTTCGGCTGAAAGCTTGCTGGCTGTCCAGGCCCGTGCATTTCATGCAAGGCCGCCCGGCATGAAAGCCCATTCAAAGGAAAATGGGGCCAATGCGGGGTTGGGGGCTTAGCCGCCTGCGTGCATTATGCACACATTCAAAAGCAAGCACTGAAAGCATCTAACACCCCCCCGTCTGATGATAATGGCAGTAAGCCCATCTTTGCACTCTGATCACTCTGTGGTTTTGATGTGTACGTTATATTATATATATATAGATAGATTACATATATAATGTCTTTATGCACACTCGTGTTGATGTGCCTGATTGTGCCTGCAAGGGTGCGAGGGTAGTCGCAGGGAACTGAGAGGTTTCCTTTCAATTAAAGGATTCACTCAGTTCCTCTGCACCTCTTACACCATCATGCAATCACTCTAGGGAAAATACGATGACAGGCAGATGAATCATTGGCATGGCAGATGCTTGCCAACCTAACTTGTTGACAATGCATCCTTCATGCGGCATTCAACCCAAAGTCTGCTCAGCACTGTACTTGACCCACAGGAATCCGTCTTCGCGGCAATGCTGTTCATACCTGTCAAGTTATGTCAAATTCATGAGGCCCGAAGCTGCAAAAGGCAAAACCCGTGCAGGTCATGACCTGTAGAGTCCCCAGTCTAAATCCAAGCAGCAATTCTGCCATTCGAGCGCTGCATCTCCTTGGAAACACAGTCACAATATATCACAACACCCTGGAAGACTGGAGTTTCTAGAAGCTGTTTCCTTTCCGTGAATTTTGAAGCTCACTTCACTATGACAAGGGGGCCCTCAAGGGGGGTGATTTGATCAATGGTGGCAAGTCGCGGCGCAACTCCATTCATAAAAATGTAGATAGTCTGCTCCGGAAGGCGTCCTTTGGTCAAACATGGAAAGGAAAAAACAAAAGCCAAATGGTCGATACGGTCGATAACATGCAAATTTCGCAAACACATCCATTGTTATCGACCATCCACTGCCACCTGGACCATCTTCTGGAGTTGCTTTCTTAATTTCTTTCTGCACCTCAGCGTCTGACGGTCCTTTGGGACTCCCTCGTGGGCTCAAATTTCAAGCGGTGGCTGAAATCCACCAAGTGCAGCACCAAATACTTAAACTCACCAGCGCTCATCTCACCAGGAACTGCAAATTTGTTCCTTGGAATCAGGGCAGGAAATGTCTGGAATGGCAAAAATGCAGTTCTCTTAAACTGGGTTTTTGCACAGATGGGCTGCTCGGTTTCCAAATGCCGCCATGGGTCTTTACAAGCTGCGGCAGCTGAGAGTATGCAGATCTTTCGCCTGAGGAAATTTGAAGCTCAAGCCCTCGTGTCTATCAGAGTCGTTCATGTTTGTGTGCGACATCAACTGACAGTGACCAGAGTTGGGCCGATGCTACTGCTGATGATATTTGGGGCTGGACTGTGGGCGACAAAGAAATCAACAAAGTATAAAAATATGTTTAGTGCAATTTGACGATGTTCACGTGGATGGCACACATGAGGCATGCAGAAGAAACACCAGAGGCGCTCGTGTCACTGCTTGGTCTATGATGTCCTGTGCCACAACCTACCTTAAGGGATAGAGATCTTTAAGGACCTAAGGACCTAAGGTTAAAGTCCTTCTAGCCTGCGCCAACCTCTGACCGTCCCCTTGCCCATCACCAAGAACCGAGGGCAAGGCAAAGGATGGGGATCCGATCCTGAGGGAATCCATGGAAGCTTAAAATGTCAGCACCTGCTCTGACCCACCAAGGGCCAGAGACAAACCCAAAACAGTAGATTGAAAAAAGTAATATTTGAATTTGAATACGGTCGATTCATTTGATGCCCGAGAAACATTTTGAAAAAAACTGTCGGAGTCAATACATTAAATCCGCTCTTTGCTTCGACTGCTGTTTGCTTTGACCGATGCGGACACGTTTCTGGGTGCTTCTCGCGGATCCGCTTGGCTTCCTCGGGCCCAACACCTTAAAATCTCGGCAGCTGCCGAAAATGCCAGCAGTTTGCGCATCCCGTGGGCGATGAAGGGGTCAAAAATTATATCAAAAAAAACATATATAGGCAGTATAGGTAGTAAAAGGTATTAAAAGGTACAGTAGTATGGATAGTATAGGTAGTATAAGTCTGTGTGCATATGTAATGACATGCAATCACATGTGTACATGTGTGTGTGTGGGGTGTGCAGGCGAAGCACCAGGGGGTCCACGGTAGCCAGCGTTGCACCCGGACAATTGTTGAAATCCAGCACGGATTGGAGCTGGGACCGATTGTGACTCCGACAGCTTTCTGCAACCTGCAAATGGAGGCTGAAGGAGTGAAGGACAGTCTGCGGTGCAAAATGGGGAGTTCAGGTCATTCAGGAATACCATGGAATACCGAAAAACAAGGCACCTTTGTCAAAGACTGCACCGGCTTTCTCTACACCTTTGTCCATGACTCGGACTCCTTCGTCACAGGCACGGTCGGAAACCTGCCACAGCAACATAGCAGCAGTATTATACAGTATGCAGAAGTGACCCCAAGCAACCAGAAAACATGAGAAAACCCTCCCCAAAGCGCAACTGAAAAACGGAAAGCTATGAGACGGGAAGAGATCCAAAGAGGGATCACTGCAAACTCTAGACTCACAGTGCTGATTGCTGATGCAACCCCACTCCTTCAGGTACAGGGAACCGGCTTTCCTGGCTACAGCTCCAGAAAAGTCCTCACAAATCTGTGAATTGGTGGGTGGCACAGCCGCACGCTTGAATGCACCAATGCACATTGTTGGTAAACCGGTGGCTACTGCAGTGCTGAGATGCTTGCTCAAAGTGAGTTTGCCATGTTCGAAGTTAGTGCGGCTTTGTGTGGGAGTTTGTCAGGAACCGTCAACGAGTCAAGGATTTCGAAAGACGGTCAAGGACCGTCAAGGGGGATGGGAGGGAAAATCGTGTGTCAAAGTCGCTTGCTAATTGCGACCTATCCTGGTGAACTGTTTATATAGTCAAATGTGGCAGAATGAAGTCGCCCATCTGCATAAATTGTAACAGGATTTGCAGCACCGCGTCGGCTGTTCCGAGACAAAGGTCATTCTCTTCCTGTCTCAACTCAAATCTAGTCCTCACGAGTAGAGGCATACAGCGCGGCTGCCCCAAGTACAGCACCAGAGACTGGGCCGGCCAGAAGCATGCCTGGTGGCTCTTTGATGTCTATCCGCAACCAGGATCCCCATAGTAATGTGCCCTCAATCTCAGAACCTCTGCGCCACCAACATTCCATTTACCCCACAAGATGGCGCGTACAGTGTACAGCTACAATATCTTCATTTTATCCCCAACAGTGTAAGGAATCAAGACGACAAGAAGAAGTCAGCTGTATCCACCAACAGGACAAATATATATATATACATACATGTGTGTGTGTGATGGCAAAGTGCCATTGCGCAAGCCCAACAAGTTCGTGGCATATTAATATATAATCATATGTATGTATATACTCTGTGTGTGTGATTGTGTGTATGTGTGCATATGCAAACATATTCAAACTTATTTCGGCTCGGACTCTGCAGGTATGAACTAGACGACGGGTGGCCCGAGAGCGTAGAGGAGCAGAGTCTTCTGTTGTTAGTATGGAGACACTATATTACAAGATAATATGATAAAGATGTATTATAGGCAGACGAGAAGAGTAGTATCAAGACAATATATGACTAGTACAAAACAATAGTTTGCATCGTATTTTTGTAAAGTTTTTCATACACAGAACTTTTTACAGACAGACTGACAGACGCTTTTGCACACAGAGACTTTTACACACAGACGCTTTTACACACAGACGATTTTGCATACAGAGACTTTTACACCCAAACACTTTTACACACAGAGACTTTTACATACACAGACGCTTTTACACACAGAAGCTTTTACACACAGACGCTTTTACACACAGACGCTTTTACACACAGACGCTTTTACACACAGACGCTTTTACACACAGCCGCTTTTACACACAGCCGCTTTTACACACAGCCGCTTTTACACACAGACGCTTTTACACACAGACGCTTTTACACACAGACGATTTTACACAAAGACGCTTTTACTCACAAACGCTTTTACACACAGACCCTTTTACACACAGACACTTTTACACACAGACACTTTTACACAAAGAAGCTGTTACACACAGACGCTTTTACACACAGACGCTTTTACACACAGACGCTTTTTACACACAGGCTCTTTTACACACAGACGCTTTTACACACAGAGACTTTTACACACAGACGCTTTTACACACAAGCGCTTTTACACACAGACGCTTTTACACACAGACGCTTTTACACACAGACGCTTTTACACACAGACGCTTTTACACAGATGCTTTTACGCACAGACGCTTTGACACACAGATGCTTTTACACACAGACGCTTTGACACACAGACGCTTTTACACACAGAGGCTTTTACACACAGAAGCTTTTACACACAGACGCTTTGACACACAGACGCTTTTACACACAGAAGCTTTTACACACAGACGCTTTTACACACAGACGCTTTTACACACAGACGCTGTTACACACAGACGCTTTGACGCACAGAGGCTTTGACGCACAGAGGCTTTTACACACAGAAGCTTTTACACACAGACGCTTTTACACACAGACGCTTTTACACACAGACGCTTTTACACACAGACGCTTTGATACACACAGAGCTTTTACACACAGACGCTTTTACACACACACACAGACGCTTTTACACACAGACGCTTTTACACACAGACGCTTTTACACACAGACGCTTTTACACACAGACTTTTACACACAGACGCTTTTACACACAGACGCTTTTACACACAGACGCTTTTACACACAGACGCTTTTACACACAGACGCTTTTACACACAGACGCTTTTACACACAGACGCTTTTACACACAGACACACAGCTTTTACACACAGACACACACAGACGCTTTTACACACAGAGGCTTTTACACACAGAAGCTTTTACACACAGACGCTTTTACACACAGACGCTTTTGCACACACAGACACACAGACGCTTTTACACACAGACAAGTCCGGCACAGGAAAAATCGCAATTTTACCTCAGTTTTTGCCGATCGACCCTCATTTCGTGCGAAAGGGTTGCTCGGGGCAAGTCAAATCGCAATTTTACCTCAGTTTTTGCCGATCGACCCTCATTTCGTGCGAAAGGGTTGCTCCGGGGCAAGTAAAATCGCAATTTTACCTCAGTTTTTGCCGATCGACCCTCATTTCGTGCGAAAGGGTTGACGTTTCGTGACTCGCCGCCGGCACCACCCTCGGCCTTAAGAGAGAAAGATAAAGAAGGCGAGAGAGAGAAAAGGGAGAGAGAAAGGAGAGAAGATGTGAAGATGAGAAGATGTGAGAGAAGGTGTGAAGATGAGCAGATGTGAAGATGAGCAGATGTGAAGATGCAGATGTGAGAGAAGATGTGAAGATGAGCAGATGTGAAGATGAGCAGATGTGAGAGAATGTGAAGATGTGTGAAGATGAGCAGATGTGAGAGAAGATGAGATGAGATGTGAAGATGAGCAGATGTGAGAGAAGATGTGAAGATGAAGATGTGAAGATGAGCAGATGTGAAGATGAGAGATGTGAGAGAAGATGTGAGCAGATGTGAGATGTGTGAAGATGAGCAGATGTGAAGATGAGCAGATGTGAGAGAAGATGTGAGAGAAGATGTGAAGATGAGCAGATGTGAAGATGAGCAGATGTGAGAGGAGATGTGAGAGAAGATGTGAGAGAAGATGTGAAGATGAGCAGATGTGAGAGAAGATGTGAAGATGTGAGAGAAGATGTGAAGCAGATGTGAGAGAAGATGCGAAGATGAGCAGATGTGAAGATGAGCAGATGTGAGAGAAGATGTGAGAGAAGATGTGAAGATGAGCAGATGTGAGAGAAGATGAAGATGAGAAGATGTTTTACAGACCCCCACTATTGGAAGAACCCTGCGCTCAGACGCTCTCGGGAAAAACAGAAAAAAACAAATGGTCTGTTGGAGATCGTGCTGGCAAGGAACCAGTTGCACCGCCGAGTGTTGCAGCTGCCCCTTGGATCCTGGTCAGTACCATATGGAGAAAATGTCAAGAAATACTTTATATTGATGTGTTTATAGTTTATATACATATATACATATACAGTATATTATATTATATATATATACTATACATAATTAGTTTTTCCGTTTTGGATTTGTTTTTGATCTGCTTTTCTGCCCGTTTTCCTTGCTAGTTGCAGCATTTTGGAGCTGGAAGCTGCCATTTCAACTGTCTCATTTTCCATCGAATTTGCAACATTCGGGTGGAATTAATAACATTTTGGAGCTGGAAGCTGCTGTTTCAAGGGTATTTACAGCATTTTTGAGTTCGAACCTCTCATTTTCGATGGAATTTGCAACATTTTGGTGCTCGAACTGTTTATGTAACATGGTAGTTCTCGAGTAGGGTTCATTTAGGGTTGGTTTTAGGGTTAGTTTAGTGTTTTAGAGTTAAGGTTTATGTAGGATTTCTTTAAGGATTGATTTAGGATCTTTTTAGGGTTTGTTCAGGGTTTATTTAGGGTTTATTTAGGCTTGGTTTGTGGTTGGTTTAGGACATATTTAGTGTTGGTTTAAGGTTTGTTGAGGGTTGGTTTAGGATCTATTTAGAGTTGGTGCGGGACCTATTGAGGATTGGTTTAAGGTGTGTTTGGCGTTGGTTTAAGATTTCTTTAGGTCTGGTTTAATGTCTATTTAGGGCTTGTGTAAGGTTTATCTAGGATTACATTCAAAATTATTTAGGGGATGTTTAGGGACTGTTTAGGGACTGTTTAGGGTTTACTTAGAGTTGCTTTAGTGTTTCTTTGGTTGGTTTGGTTTTTTAGTGGTTGAATTGGGGTTTATTTATCTATATATATTATATGAAATTATATGATGTTTCTTAAGGATTATCTGCAGTATGAGAAACAAAGAAAAAAGAGGGAAAAGCAGATAAGCAGAAAAGCAAATAAGCAAAGAAGCAGGGAAAAGCAGAAAGCAAAGAAGCTGGAAAAGCAGAAAAGCAGGGAAAAGCAGAAAAGCGGAGAGGCTGAGAAGCAGAGATGCGAAGCAGAGAAGCAAAGAACTATAAAAGCAGAGAAGCAGGGAAAAGCAGAATAGCGGAGAGGCTGAGAAGCAGAGAAGCAAAGAACTATAAATAAAAGCAGAGAAGCAGGGAAAAGCAGAATAGCAAAAAGCAGAGAAGCTGAAAAGCAAAGCAGGGAAACAGAAATCAACAAAAACAAAACGGAAAAAAAACAACTAATTCCCGAAACAGATAGCCCTCCGTATATATACGTGTAAAATATTGACTGATATACGACTTGAAGAACAATCCCCATCAAAGCAGTTTCTTGCTATCCCATTCCAGTACATACCAAGCTTTCGGCAAACTTTTCAAATCCTTTCACATCTATCAGCCCCAGAGCGGATTGGGTATAAAAAACCTTGCAGCGACCATGACAAGTAAAACATGTCACAGTCCTTCTGCTGAGATCTCCGCTTGCTGAAGCCTTAGGGAAACATTGCACAATCAGTGCTATAACCCTCAGAATCAGTTCAGGAGACCTCTTCATACAATACATGAGATCAACCTGTCGTCAAATTGTCCAAGGGGACCAAATTGACCGGACACGTTGAGCTTGTGACGTCAGATGCAAAAGGTTCCTGTTGCAAGCATTCAGTCGGCGAGACCACGCTCTCTGGCGTCAACTCCTGCAGTGGAGAACCCACCTCTCTAGCTACCCGAGGGGAAGCAGGGTGTCACCCCTTTGCAGAACTACATTGGAAGCAGTGGTTTGCATTGGCAAACTATCCAAAGAACATCAAAGAATCAAAAGAATAAAAGAGCGAATGTGACGAACTGACTGCCACAGAAGAATTTTGCAGCAAACTCCTCGTTCGACTCCTCTGCCCATCTGGTATCTGCCCCATCCTCCTGTGCATTTCAGCAGGGAAGCCCTTGCGAAAGCTTCTTGAAAGCAATTTCAACGACAGTCATAATTGTGACATTTCTTGAAAGAGAAGCACAGGCCTGACTCTCGCCAGCTGGCTTGTCTAAGTCCAAGTGTTTCCTTGCAGAAAATTCCAGACATGACGCAAATACATCAGCAAGTCGCCCTCCACTCTTTGTGGTTGTCAGTGGCGATGTGACTCCCTCTATGTACCAGCAAAAAGCCTCAAGACACTTTTCTTGGTCGGGGCACCCAATGGCCCAATGGTCTGCCGCACAGCTAGGAATTCAGGCACTTTCACTTGCAAATATGTAGGTGTCTTGCATCACTGCATCAATGTATATAATCTGTGAATCCTTCATCTCATCTACGCTAGAGGGCTGCCGCACGTCGGACAGCTCAATGAAGTCAGAGACAGCCAGTCAAGCTCAGCAAGGACGCTGAGTTCACAGATGTTCACAGTACTGGGTACCCGGGCTGAATGGCATCGTCATTGAACGGCAGCTTTTGCAGGGCCTTCCCCTTTCTGCTGGACTTCGGAGCCATGGCAGGATCTATCTACGCATTTCAATCCATTCAACCCAACATTGGCTTGAACTGTGAACCCTATGAAGATCCCAAACAAGCCCAGCACATCCCAGCACCATCCGATAGAAAACGAAGGTGTTACAGTCACAGTGATGATTTTTATGTAGGGCTTTTATTGATCCACTTTGGGTGAGTCATCCCAAGTCATACCTCTTCTTTGTATCGTTCTCCTTCATTTGAAGGCAATCATGTATAATTATCTTTGAGCTAGATTTCTGCAGCCAACAAAGCATACAAAGCCAAAGAAACCCAAAACACACAGTAAAGATCGCAGCACTCTCGGACTCTATCTTGAAGCTGCTACAAAAGGTTCTGTAGACATACATAGCGACCAAATCCATAGTATCCATAGCTAGCGACCCGAAGTGCAGTTCCGAGGTTGGCTGGGTTGGAGGTCAAATAGCCTAAACGAGTCACTGCAGTCACCACAGCAACTCTTCTGCTCAGTGTGGACGGGATTTGGCAGAAGCAAAATCTGAAAATGTTGGTGGCACCATCGCCTAAGCGCCGGCTGCGGGCAAAGCCTGTAGGCAGCTTTGAGCTCACGTGTGCCAAAACCTGCCGTGAGACAACACTGAGTTTCTGCCAGCATTAGTATCTGCTGTGCCTGTCACATCGCGCCCCAAACGATTCAAAGATTTTGAAAGTGTCTATGAATACCAGCACACGTATATGCACACGTGCATACAACACCTTTTGCCATGTAAACTTTGGAATGGGTGGCATGTTTTAGCGATTCTATGATCTGCCATTTGTGGTCAGCACAGGCACCATCGGCTACTGAGTGTCTGCACGTCAGTCAGCTCGACATACGCTGCTTGCACCTCACCCGTGCAGTGCTATATAAGCCTACCATAATGTACCATACCTGGCCACGCCTCTGTGGGGAAACTTAGGCCGAAACATTGCCACCAGTCTGCTGCGAGGTTGCTTTCAAGTGTTCCTTCCAGGCCGATTCCATCTCTGGCTAAATGATATTCACTGGCAAGAAGGAAAGGTACGCATTCGAGTGTCAAAACACGATTGTGGTGGGTTGCGATTCATGGAAGCAGGATCAAAAAATATCAAAGTTGGTATTTCTAGTGTTCTAGCATTCCATCTCAAACAAAGCTACGCGATCTAGGGCTGATAATATAGCTGACAGCATCACAAGAGGCAATGTCCTCTTCGTTGATCCATAAAGTGAGGGTTCTCCGCTCATTCACAAAAACACCTGCCCACATAACATCAGCGGCAAGGGATGGCTAGAGGCTCCAACAGCCACTGCGGACTGATGCATTTCTGTCATCAACGGAACGGGATACTCGGGATACCTCGACCATGGGGCCAGTGGCGGCCAGCTCCCGTGCTCAACACTGCTGGAGCATCTGGGTGGTAGAAGAGGAGGTGATCGTCAGCCAGCATCTTGCAAGCATTGGACAGCGTCCAGCTGTCACAAAATGTCTGACAAATTCCCAAAGTCTGCTCTGGAAGAAGATCAGTGAAATTACAGAAAAATATAGCACAATCGCACCTTCTCCTCGTCCATTGACATTCCACCAGGCTTGGATGGATATGAACGTGAACCAGCCAGTGGATAGTACTGACCTCTCAAACTTCTTGGACCGAGGAGATTCGAGCCGAACAAATCATGCCCAGTGCCCAGTTCCACAGCTCCTGCCTTCCATGGCTGCAGCAGATTGAACAATGATCTGCTCAACCTCCCAGCTTAATCATTCTGAACCCAGCTTAAGCAGACAAATGATCAAGATTGATCAAGCATGTACAAGCAAAAGCACTGCAACTTCAACATCCTCAGCATCCTCAGCATCCTCAGCATCCTTGGGATTTGGCTCTTGCGTTATGCGAATAAACCTCAAACCTGCCTCTTCCCGATCTTGTCGAGTTGCAGCAGGTGGAAAGGGAAATTCTTCGATGTTCCTCCCATAGTCACGCCCACTCACGCCCTCAAAAATTCAAAAAATTCTTGCAATGCGCACACAAATCCGCCTGAAATCTAATTATATCTGCCTTTGAAGTAAAATTTCGACTATGCTCCCTGTGGCAGTCCTCGATGCGGATACTTTGCAAGAGATCACCTTAGATAGTCCGTTCAGCTTACATCTAGCTTGTGGACATGGAGCTGAAAAGCGTGCTGGCAGAAAGAAAGTATCAACATCAAAACGATCAAAACCTCTGTTTCAACATGTTTCCACCATCTTGGCACGAACAAATTGGGGCAGTGTTTGACCATAGTTACTGTGAGAGAAAGCCCTTGCTGAATACAATATGTCAATGTCAACATGATTCAACATGATGACATGTGTCAACATGTGTCAACATCTCTAGTGTTTGCTCAATGGCTTTTTTTCAGAATGTTTCCGATCTGTTTATCTGCTGACATATCTCCAACACACGAGTCGACCAAGTCGACCAAGTCGACCAAGTCGACGCCGAATTGGAGCCAAGTGGCATAGCCACCAAAAGGCTCAGCCGACTCAGTGGTGAGGGTTCGGCGTCCACGCTTGGAGCTCTCTGAAGGAACCTGGCAACGGAACTTTATGTGAATCCTTTGGCACGTAGGAAGATGTAGGGAGTGTATACTGTTGGATACTGTTGGATACTGTTGGCTTCCTGATGTTTTCTGGCTACTCGTCGGCTAGCTGTTCGTAGAAGCTACCAAGGTGCGGTGCATGCGGAGTCAAATTCTAAATCAGACCGGTCCGTTTCACACACACGCGCGCGGCACCTTGCCATGTCTTCTCTCGATGAGTCTGTCAAACAGTGGCCTGAGAGTCAACAAAGGCAAGATGCGCTAAGACTATAGTGACTAAAGACAATTGCAAGATTGCCCTATTTCAGACACGGGGGGTCCAGACAAATCTGCAAGCATGTTACGCGAAGATGTCATAAGACTCCGCATCACCGGCGACTGCGCCCAATGATTTGAGCACAGGGTGGCCCTTATTGTCAATGCCTCTGGAGCTGGGGAAGTCACGCATGCTCAAGATACTGAGGTATGCCGCACAACTCGTGCCTGTCTTGATGCATCTTGCAAGTGTTACACCTTAGTCCACAGCAAACGCCTTTGCTGACGCTTGTTGCGTTCTTTCAACTGTTCGCACCTTTTGAGGTCTTGCTGTCCTTCAGCTGCTCATAGATCTCTGGATGGGCCTTTCAGATTGCCGTCACAGTCACGCGTTGCTCGCAGACATTAGCTGTAGCTGGAAACGCTTGCCCGTCATATATTATCAGTTGATATTTTATATATACAGTAATTGGTCGTGATTCTATTCTGGTGTCGCGCCCTTCCCCATGTGTAGCGTACTCAACCTTGGAAAACAGAAGCCTTGCAGGGTACCCCAGGTCAAATGGCATGAGAAACAACAGTTCACTAACGGGCCCTAGGGGATGGGAAGGGTCAGGAAGGGTCAGGAAGGCATCTCTCGTTGGATGCTGTGATCAAACGTGCCTTCAAAACGTCAGCACACACGCTGCAGTGCCTGAAGCATACAGAAGTCAAGGTACGCTCCATCATGCCATCATGCTCCTATGTGGTTGATGTTCTCCCCTTACTCTGCCAGACGAAGGTGTATCTTGCTTCCGAATGCTTCCCTTCTCATGTGGAAAAATATCGGTGAGAAGACCCACCTGGAGAGATCAGGTAAAGGAGGACATCCATCTGCAGGAAACCCAGGGTATTCATCAGTTCCTTGGTGTGGCTTGAGGCAAACTCGTATTCCTGCTGTCAAAACATATCAAAACTGTTTGTGTGGTTGTGCTGAAGTTGCAACAAAGCGACCCAGCCCCGGAAACTGGTCAAATGGAATCTCCACTGGCATCACGCTTTGCAGCCTCCCTGGTCACTCCTGGGCAAGTAGCATCAACCGATCCACGGCCGGCGATGTGCATGTCAGAGGACGCGCCTGCCCAAGTCGTTTGCCCGACGGACTCAGCATCCGGTGTATCTGGTATCATTTGAGCTTAATGGCTCATCTGCATGCAGAAGGACCGATGCAGGCACCGGCCCAGCAACCAAATGAAAATTTTCTCTGGACAGGATCAGCATCAGCGCACAAACCCAAACCAAAAAATGGGCAAAGCAAGCCAGAAACAAACAGCGGGCACGCTGCATTTTGTTCTTGCGAAGTCTGTCCATTTGTCTGCCGCTCCTGACTACATGATTAGCCATTGGCCGCAATACGCCTTTACAGGGACCCACCTAGAGCGGGCTGCAAAGATTGCAAAGCAGGCACCAAATGCGGAGCGCAGTGCTCGAGACCTGAACGTCGTGAAACAAACACAAAACTAGAAAGAATGAATCCTGTTTCAGACTGGAATCGTCCATCTGCGCTTCAGATTTTCCACATTACCGTCAGCATCCAAACTTGTACATAAAGTGCAGCCTTACCTCCAACATGGAGAGGGGTTCAGCAAACTATGACACTTGAAGTGTCTGCAGGTTAGGCCACAGTATCCGAGAAGCACTTGTGACATCACTACCGGCCAGAAGCCTGTGCTATGATGAAGATTTGCGCTTGGATCGAGACTTCCTGCCACGCAAGCCATGATTTGTGACCGAGTAGAAAGAGTGCTGAACAAGGCTCACATCGATGGCCTTTTCTTCCTCTTTTTGTCTGTAGATGCTGAAGTTGAGGAAGATTTTCTTCTCTTCTTTTTGCCTCATGTACATTCTTGCGCTTCAATGCGGGCAAATGTGCAGTGACGAACTCTGGGTGGAACGTATCCGTTCTTCAGCCAAGCAAAGCAAATGCGGAACCCTTTCTTCAGCACGCCACGTGCAGTCAGTCATGGTGGTGTTCATCCATACATCAAAACTGCCAAACAACTTAGGAAGCTTCACTTGTAGAAAGCAAGTTTCGAGCTTGGGGGCGGGCTGCTTTCTTTCCGCCTTGGGATGGTACAACTTGCGCAAAGATGCGCAAAGCATATATGCAAACGTATGCAAAAACTTGAAGAAAACATCAAAGACTCAAGGGGCCAACTTCTTATCTCGAGAGGATGTGGAAGAGGAAGAAGAGGAAGATTTCTTTCTCCGACTTTTGGACTTTGAAGATTTCCTTTTGCTTTTCCAAAGCTAAAGCAGTTGAAATCTCAGGGAACAGTGAGGCGCACAGACCTCTAAGTTTCAAGGCAGTGGAATGCTGCCAGTCCTTCTCTTCTTCTTCTTCTTTCCAGATGAGGTCGATGAAGAGGAAGATGCAGATTTTTTGGATTTCCTGCCTTCTTTCTGAGGCTTCCTTGTGACAGCAAAATTGCAGTCCGCCCGAACTTGGAGAATCTGACGTCTATCTGGTCTGAGAAGACGGCTGCACTTCAGGCTTCACTTCGGCTTCCGGCTTCAGGGCTGTCTTCGCACTTTCAATCTGTGGCACTTGCCTCTGCGCTTGGTCCGGACTTGTCACACGGCTTCAAGCATCGCATGAAAAAGTTGCCCCTTGACATCACTTAGCATCCCTTGGCCGACCTTTGCTGCAGCATTTCTGCACCGCTCACAGCCATCTCAGATTCAAATGCTGGAGCCCTGAGCGTGCAGGTTCAACAAATTCCATCCAATGCTGTCACAGGCTTTCAGGGTTTCACCATTCTGAACTGAACGACTTCGTGTGATCTGCAAATGTTGGACGGCTGGACCTGTCGGTAACGACGCCGGTTCTCACTTGACTTGGTGACCTTTACAGCGATACGTCACAGTGCGAACGCGACAGTCTCACGGCCACAGCTACTAGGGAGGTTGATCAAAAGCGTGCCACATGTGTGCAAATATGTGCCAACTATGGCCATGTTGCATTGGACTATTGCTGCTGTCACTTAAGTTTGCTTTCCGATTTGATCAATGGATCAAAAGATTGTCTTGGAAGTGGGCGTGATGGGCAACATGTAAGGCTCAAGCTCTGCTTGGGCAGGTGGAGAATGCTCCATGGTCAGCTTTGTGACCGCAGGAGGACGAGTTGCCAGACTCTCATCAGGCTGCACTATGGGCACTATGGGCACTATGGGCTTGCCTGACAGGAATTCAGCAACCAGAACAACAAACAAAAACAATTGATACACCCCTGAAGCAGCATGCACACACCAAGTTCACACCAAGTCTACAGCCTGGAAGGGCTGGTGCTTGCTTTGGGGAGTCCAGGGCAGGTTCAGGTATGTCCTTCAATGTCAGGAGGATAGAGAAAAAATCGTGCTGGCTTTCGGCCGTTCAGCCTTGCTGCCTATTCTGATTTCATAGCTTTAGGTCCTGTTCAATCGTGACTTGCACAGGTCTGATGCCTGGCAAGGTGGACAAATGCGGATAGAATGAACACATTGACACCATCATACGCCATCATTCATGGATGAAGGAGCCGCGCAGCATCGCACAGCATCCCAACTTTGCCAAGATCTGCCGAGCTGGCCTCGATTGATTTGGATGGCCTTGGCACTCGGCAGCCCAAATGTCAAGGGCCAGGGGTGAGACCTGCAACATCTTGTCTAACATCTTGTCTAACATCTTGCAAGATATGCTGCCAGAGTTTGCAAAAGCCGAGGCAATGACAGTTGATGGTTCTCGGTACACCTGAGGATAGCTGATCAGCCTTGTGGAATCGCTTCCCTGATGCAACTCAACTACAACTACGCACAGTAACTACAGGAATACTGGGGCCGCAACATAGATGCGCGAAGAGCCACCAAACCGTAGATTGTCACCAGAGCAAAGCCGCTCCAGCCTTGGAGTAGAAGCCACTTCTCTAGAAAGGAGTGGCAGTGTTCTTGAAGCAACTCTGACGGTTCTCGTGTGTTCCCATAGCATTTTGCGGTGGCCCAGCCATTTCCATCCTGTAGTAGCCAAAATTGCCGCTTTTTGCGCCTGCTTTGGGCCTATGGCTTTGAGCTCAAAGTATTTCTTCAGCTTTGGCTTTTTTGAAGATACTTTGTCTTCTTGTTTTGGTCAGGGATCTAACCCGAGCACTCACTTCTCCTTTTTCATCTCGGAGCAAGCACTAGTGGCGCCCTCAAAACAGGATGAAATACAGCGTTAAGGAGGAGTAACAACCAGCTGCCATGACAGGAAACCTGTTGCGGACAATTGCCAACATTTGGGGCCGGGCATATTTCTCAAAAGAGTTGGCATACCTTGGCGACATGATTTTGATTACAACCATTGTGAGCTGCACGCCAACAGTGCTGGATACTGCCGAGTCAAAATCCAACGACGTATGAGCGGAAAATATGTGTCCATTCACAATAATTTGGTTGCACTTCCGTCGCATGTCCCCAGCTTGTGTGCGCAGGAATGTGCAGGATGCAGCGTATGTGAGAAGTAAGGTAACTTGGATATCTTCTACCACATATTAGCACATGCGTCCTCTGGGATCCAGCGTTCTCTGGGAGCCGGGGGCTGCGTCCTTGAAAACCTCCATATGTGGCCAGGGTGCCCATAGTGCGAAAACAGCGCAAATAAGATTCTGTACCATACGAGCTGCGACCAATGAGCAGACAAGGCCTGCGAACAAATGTGAGAGCGCGAGGTGGTCTATTCAGTCTATTCGAACAGTCAGAATAGCCAACCCGAGGGCCTTCAAGCAGCCAATCGGGTTGCCAGACACTGCTGCCTGGGCAAGTCTCATGTGAATTGCTTCAGGGCAAACGGCTGACAGCCCTCAACCCAAACGTGTATATACACAGCTACACCACCAGCAGATGCTGCCAAGCACCGCTGAAATGTGTTTCATATCAAAATTGGTGGTGGTGAGCACAAATGCTGCCCAGTTTCAGCGTCACTGAGGCGTTCAGACCTCAAGTTTCTCTTAGTTTCTCATAGTTTCTCTGCAGTTTGAGTTGCAGGGCGAGTTGCAGAAGGTTGCAGGCCCAAGGGGCACCCTCTCCATGGGTCTGAGGCCAAGGCTGTAGCAGGAGGCTGATTGGGCCCAGATATTTCCGATACATCGGCACCTTCGAACTCTTCTGAGAGGTCTGGCATTGTGAAATTGATGTGCTGAAACGCAAACCAACAGATCCAACAGCAAACAAGCAGTTGAGTGCATTTTCGAGTCTTAGAGTGCGGTCTTGTTTTTCATGATATTTTCATTCTGTAGTGCGGGATTGGGATTCTGTCAGGATGAGTGCCAAGGCACACTCCGGAGCATGAACAGCTCGAAGGCCAAATCAGCTCCCTCGGTTCGCCGCCAAGCCTCCTGCACTCCTGCAACACCCCACAGCCAAGTTAAGGCACAGATGAGACGGTTTCCTACCATTTCCTCCCGCATCGCCTTCCGAAGCAGAGATGTGATTTGGATGGCCTTCGCAAGTCGAAGACAGGAGGGAGTTACTAGGAGTTTAGCACAAGGGAATACCAAGTACTAAGTCGAATAATGTCGAATACAGAAAGTGAATCTGCCGATGTCTTCTCATTAACCTGCCTGATACACCTAGCTCATCGAAGGTCAGAACTGCGGAGGCGCTGTGCGTGGCTAAAAAAACGAGAACCTTGGTGCCAATCCAAGGAAGTGTCTGCGGTCTGCGGTTATGTGGCGTGGCCAACAGTCTCAATGTTCTAGGGAATCCTGCCTTGTCAGCCACATGGTTGGAGGGCCATTTTTGCCATCCATCCTCACAAACCCACCAAGAGAGAGCTGGCAATGAGACAATCAGGTCAGCTCTCCATCAGTCCTGCAGCTCTGGGTCGTCCAGGATTTGCAAGGCTTCACCAGTCACACCTTTCATCAAAGCCCAGCAGGCCTGAAATGGCCTGAATTAATGTGTCACGATTTCTTGGCTAACCTTGCAGCCATTTGCAGCAAAGCAGCCAATCTGAATGCACGAGTTCTCCATTTCCTCACAATTCCAACCAGGAACCAACCAACTCCAACTTCTCCCAAGGAAATGCAATGAACGAGCCTTTTTACCCCATTGCATGTGAACTTACAAAACCCTTCAAACTGAATTCTACAAAGGCTCGCGTTTTCGGATGTCACCCAACCCGTCAAAGTTGCCAGTAGACAAGCATAGAACACTAATGGTCACACCTGAGCGATGAGGTGATGGATCGCAATTCAATTTTACCTACTGTGGCGACGGTGGTGTTGTTTGGAAACCATCCTCTTACTCTTGTCAAAGTAATGGTGCAGCTTTTGAGGTTTTCACATGGCAGCGCGACTCTGACATTACCACAGAATCGAGGCAGCATCTGCTGCCAAAGCACCAGCAGCACGAAGTTGCGATAAGGTGGGCCAAAAGAACATGGCCTCAGTGAAGCACTTTGAGAGTTCCGGCTGACAGCAGCCTTGATGGACATCTCGCCTCATCATCAGGATGAGCCACCACCTGGAGCGAAGGATACCAATAGGACCAGGATACCAACATAATGGCAGTTCAGAGCATTCAAACGTGGCCATGCAAAGGGTCTGCGACAACATTCTAAGTTTAAGCCCAGCTGCCAGCGCTACATGCTTGTGGTCCCTCAGCTTTCCAAAAATTCCAGACCGGCGCATCAAAGACCTCAGGGTGATGTGTTCCATTTGGTATTTAAAACATGTTTTAAAATAACTCAAGCACTCACCTTGTTGCATTCGTCCTAGGCACCCCACAGGACTGTAGCCAGAGCAACCAGTCCAATCGCAACCTTGGTTCGGGCCCCTTCTCCATCCTTCGCCCTGGCGACTCACTCATGTCTGGAAGTTGTGTGCCACTAAGTCGCGAAGGTAGTTGCCCAAATCCTTGGCTCAACAAAGACAAAAACCTGTGTGGACATGTGGGCACAAAGTGGGCACTCTCCAAGAAGCACGCATGAACGGTCTTTCATCCTCTTTGTACCTATCTGCCGTCTTGGTGTTGTGGCCTTCTGTTCTAACGGTTTTCTAACGCAAACTGATGAGTACGAAGCTGCTACTAAGACTAGGGCTCCAACATGTTTTCTGCTCACTCATAATCGCGCAGAGATCACGCCGAATAGTCCTGTCTGGGATCTCATCCATGTTCGTACAAAAAGACTCCTGTGCCGATCGACACAAATACACTCAAACCTTGCCTGTGTCATCCGTAGTTGCATGCACGTTCAGTTGCACGTTCATGGCTCTTTGTGTTTTCCTGGTTTGAGCCAGCCCTGACACCAAAATTATGCACGGTATTCACTCTCGCCCATTCGAGTCTAAAGAATCTGGAAATATATGCACGCATTGTATGTATATAATATATACATGTGCGTGCGTGATATTTGTTTGTATCTACGTATGTTGGTGTATTGGCATATAGGTATGTATGAACGAATGTATAGAGCTTGTATGTGGTTCCCAAACCCCCAATCAGCTCTTTTGCTCTCGCGATGCGCAGCTGCGCAGCTTTTGCTTCACAAGTCTAGTTGCTTCTAGACAAACTCTAGAGTCGCAAAACTTTTAGCTTCAATTCGACTCGACATGCCCAGGCATTTTTTACTAGGACAAAATTCCGTGGCTTTCAGAGGTGAGTAGCGGCAATGGTGAGTTGGTTATTTAAAAAAGCTGCCGCATTAAACATCGTACAACACTTTGATATTTTAAGACACTGCGCGCCACACCCAACTTCCAACGACTTCCGTGTTGTCCCAGCCCGAGCGTTGCCCCGCAGGGCATGTGGCCGGAGCCATCTCTGCACTAGCCTAGGAGGCACCGTCAGACTGTGCCTGGAGTGACCTTGCCAAGAGAAAATGCAGAACAAACAGAAAATGCACAAGAACACTCAGAGAACAAACTTTGCAAGTCTTGGCACATCCTGGTTAGGTCATCCACGCAATCGCCAACACTTCAAACAACTTAAAGGCTGAGAATGCTTTCTCCGAAAGGATTTATTCTAAAAAAAAGGCTGTGAATAGCAGCCGCCCTTCCAAGCAGCGACCATAAAAGCACCATACAACGAGCCAAAGCTAATGCGCACACCTCCAACCACCTGTAGCCCTGACGGTGTTGCAAACAGCCATCGAATAGGGCACAGAGACAACCACTCACAAGCACAATCACAAGCACAACCACAACAACCACAACAACCACCACAACCACAACCACAACAACAACAACAACGACAACAACAACAACAAAAAAAAAAAATGACACGCCGCCCAAATGACAAGCCACGATGAACACTCAGGATTCATCTAATCCTCATCCTCTTCTTCGTCATCGCTCCCCATAAGTGCCGAGAATTTGTTTTTCCTCAGACGGTCAAACAGGTGTATCTTTCACAAGTGCTATGGGTTTCCACTGATTTTACTCATGCGAACCAATTCTCCAGCTCAAATGGACTGATCTCTTCAGAAAAGTGTCGATGCGACCTGAGGCTTTCCCTTCTTCTCCTTCTTTTCAGCCTTTTCTGCCTCCTTGCCAACGATGGTGTGGAATCTCATGGCTGTGCACAATGTTACTGCACCCTGATGCGCAAGTAGCTTACGGTAAACCATTGTAGACTGACAAGAGGATTATGAGGATGTGTTTTTTTCTCTGATCTCCGGACACCGGTTGCCTTCTTTGGCTCTGCAGCCTTGGCTGGCTTGACCTCGGGGAAGAAATGGCAGCCAGGTATTCAGTTGTAGGCGACTTCATGATGTCCGTTGATGTCTGGCAGATCTGCAATCTCGGTTGATCTCTCGCAATCTCGTTTTGGATCGCCCAAGGAACGGGAGCAGCGGCAGGTGCTTCAGGGACAGCGACAGGGGCTGCAGGAGGCGCACTCTCCGCCTGAGATGATCTGAGTATGACAAGTATGACAGGCATTCACCAGACAAATCTGACAAATCCATCTAAGAATCTCTCAGACTGTTTTTTTTGAAATAGTCGCGCTTAGGTTCTAGAAGAAAGTTTGCCGTTGAGCATGGGCGATTCCCTGCCTTTCCCTTCTTCTTTCCCTTTTTCTTTGGCTCCTGCGACTGAACAGCTTTGAACTGCAGACTGTAACACAAGAAAAGGACCAGTTGACTTCAGAAGGCAGGTCTTCAAGCACCTTGGTTTGCTTGAAATTCGACTTTTGGGTAACATCAATTAATAGTTGTGCCAGTGTTGCAGGACTGAGCAATGACTCCTGTAGTTTACTTACTCTGACTGGATTTGGGTTCAAATACCAACAAAGGACTGACAACCGACACTACCCGTGGACCAGACTCTTGACTCGGAACAACTGAGCCCGGAAAATAAGAGCACCGAAAATTAAAAAAACACAAATAAAATCGAATCAGGATCTTGCTCCAGATGTGCAAGCTGTTAAACTCTTTTTAGATTGACTGCTAGATAGAGTCATTCGAAATGGCCACAATCTGTGTCTGATAGCCGCTGATTTCCGTCGCAAATCAGCACATCACCCCCATGGTCTCCGCTTCAAACTCCACTGCGGGTGCTGCTTCGTAGATCTGCTCCACCTCGGGCTCTTTCTGAGCAACAACCTCCTCCTGAGAGCACGTGCAGGGCTGTTTGCGCAAGGAATGAGTATATTGATTTATTTACTTGTCAAGTATGTATTCACTCGCTTATCAACTTATCAAAGTATCTTTCTACTGCTGCCTATCTGCCTGTCTATCTGCCTATCTATCTATCTAATTAATCTATCAATCTATCAATCTGTCAATCTAATCTATCAACCTATCAATCTATCAATCTATCAATCTATCAATCTATCTATCTAACTATCCATCTATCCATCTATCCATCTATCCATCCATCCATCCATCCATCCATCCATCTATCACTCTGTCTATCTACCTACCTACCTTTCTACCTCTCTCTCTCTCTCTCTTTAATTTGATGCATCATAACACCCTGAAAATTGACCCACGGGCAGTCCTCTTCTTCCGAATCGGAGTCTTAGTTTGAAGTGTCAGGTTTCAAATTTGAGCTGAATGTGCACCGTCCAAGGCTTGGAACATTACTTACGGATATGTGCGCATGGCAGGTGGCAACAATACTTGCAGTCAGACAGGAAAGCTCCCGGCTGCCAAGAAGGGCGAATGCGTTCTTTGTGCCCGGCATGATGAAGCTGTGATGGGCCTTGTCCTCTTTCGCAATTCAACTGAGTGCAAGTCATCAAAGGGAGCGAAACAAGCCTCACTGCCATTGGGGGAAGACTGAGACCACCTCATTACAAAATTTAGGAATAGCAGGGGCAACCACTGCCAGTACAAACTAGCCTTAATCTTTCAATAGTCCCTTCAATGCACTGACGTACGGTAGAATCTCCTTGCACACCGCGGTCGAAGGAGGTGCAGAAAATGGCTTGAGCTACGTGGCAGCAAGGGTAGTTAGAGTCTCGTGTCTCATGTACAGCTTGAAAAGCTCAGATACCCCAAACATCCCCAAATAGATCCTTTGGGCAAAACTTAAATATACATCAAATACTATGAGATATGACATATGCATAGATATATATATATACATATACATATACATATACATATACATATTATATATATATGATATATGTGTGTGTGTGTCAAAATCCTGCACTGCATCATATCAGCATGTAGTGTCATGTTCAGTGGGATGTCGCAGCGTAGAATTTGAATCCTCGCGTTTTCCATTCACTTACCAAACCAAATAGACGAATTCACTTGCAACTTGAGGCAGCGGCGTGTTCTTCACCAACCTCAGATCGACTTCACTACAAATCCGTGATATGGGGGGCCCTGCCATGACATCTTCAAGCGGATTCAGTAAAATCATGAATCTAAGACTTTAAAATTCTGGTCAAGAAAGGTTTAACAGCTTTCCAAATGTTCCAAGCAACTTCTGTCCGTTGAGAAGAGTTCCATGAGCTGAACCCAAGTCTTGCAGGAAAGTGAAGCAGCCCTGTCGGTTCACCTGACCAAATGCTTCAAATCCACCCAAATCCACCCAAATGCAATGATCCACCTATATCCACCTGTTCGCTTCAGTATCTTGAGCTTTTCTTGCCTGGGCATGCTTTCTGGAAACCGTCTCGTGACCTGGCATAAGTACAGTCAAACGACAAACTCATGCCTAACTCATGCCTGGGTCAAAACTTGCTAGTAAATCACCATGGAATCGCTGTTTCAAGAAACTCATGCCTAAGTCATGCCCAAATCTTAAAACACCATGGAATCGCGTGCGTATGTATAAGAAAAATGTTTCCACACTTGGGAAAATCAAATGTTCGCAAAAATCCGTCTACAGTTGCAAGATCTATTAACAATATGGAAAAGGTACTCTTGATGCTAAACACAACCTAAAAGCAAGATTTATTAACAATATGGAAAAGGTACCCTTGATGCTAAACACAACCTAAACGCGAGATTTATTAACAGTTTAACAAAAACTATTCCAAAGACCAAATCCAACAAAACATTGCAATTCCTATGCGTTTTACTAAAAAGGCACGACTTTTCAAATCAAGTGCTCCCAGCTATTTACGATGATTTCCAAATTTTAGGCACGACTTTAGCATTCCACTGTACAGATGGCGATTCTGCATGGAACATCCAAAAGCCAGTATCATGACAGATAGGAAGAGATGGCAAACGATCAAGGGTCTAAGACCCAAGCCAGCACGAATATCTATTGGAGGACATCTGCCGATCGTCCAAGTGGTTTGCGTCGGTGACAAGATGAATCTTCCTGAATGGAAGGCCCCAGAAATTCCCGAGTTTCCCAGGCACATGTCAGGGAACAAGATGAACACCCAAAAGTCAGAGGAAGTGTAGAATTTGCTCAGGAATCTCAGCAGATTGCAAGGCAAGAATCCTATTCTCTCACCACCTTTGAAAACGTCAAAGCACGGAGCTTCAATATGGTCGGACGGCTCCTTACGCAAAGGAAGTGCCACAGGGATTGGTCTGCACTGACAGCCTGAAAGACCCCAATAACAAGTGGCTCAACGCATATCCTTTTGGAAATGTCCTGGGGACGCCCTCAACCGGTAATCCCTAACAGCCCAGATCGAGAAAGTTACTCTATTTACTGATATTTACTGTGTGTTTTAAAAAAATGGTTCTCTAACTCCAACTTTTTAGACAGCACTTTCAATACCAATGCTGGAGCAGCCATTCGGCTAAGGATGGCCATCCATGCCGGTAGCAGAAACATCAGCTGCCGAGGGTAGTAGCTCCACAAAGGCTCCCGGCTCCTCAATGCGTTGGTTCTTTTGGCTATTAGCTGCAGCTTCCCGTCGAAGGCGCTCAGCTTCCGCCTGGAGCCAGATCAATGATTTGCGCCGTGGTATGTAATGATTCGCAGTGGTATGCTATAGTTTTAGGATGTCTTAGGTCTTCAGTGTTACAGTCTGTCATTGTTTGTCTCCCTACAAGCAACTGATAGGATCGCGATGCATTGATGAATCAGTCATTGCCTTCTTCCGGAGGTCTGCTTCGGCTTTTTTCTTCTCCTCCTCGGATTCGAGCTTCTTTCGCTCCAGCAAGGCTTGTCGCACCCGTTCTGCCTGAACAGAGGCCCAGTGCAAAGGAAGCGAACGCCATGAGGTGATCTGTCCTGCCTCAAGCTGTATCTTGTCAGACTCCTCCTGATCACAATCTGCATCAGTTTGAAATCAGAAACTTGGCACCTACGAACTGACTAAGAACTCGTCCAGAATCTCAGTCCTTCTTTTGCCTCTCGCGTGACATGGCCCATTCAAACTCTGCCTCCTGCCAAGCCAATTTAAGGGTTGCAGCGTGGGGTTTCTTGGGCTCAAAGGCAGGCAGCACTCCTTCCGGGCCATCTCAGTTCGAGCTTTCCACAGTGCAATCCTTTCCTGGGTCACCGATTATTCTAGGAATATGACAGCTGGAAGGGAACAAAGTCGTGTCACCGAATGTTGCAGAATGGAGATGTGATGGCAAGACTATGGACTATGGTACTGGCATCATGCCATAAGAAGCTGAAAGCGGAAGTAAAAGCCAAAACAAAGACGGAAGGCATGAGCCCAGCTTAGCCCTGCTCTGCTTCTATCCTTTGTTCCTCCTCTTCTCTTCGCCTCTCTTCCTCCTTTCGTCGTTTTTCCTTTCAGCAAGCCAAGAACAAATCCATTTCGAAAGAGAGAGAGAGAGAGGTTTGCTGACTTGCAGCTTTACAATCAAAACCCTCGCGAAGGCCGTCCTCCTCCTTGATCCTCCGTTCCTCCCAGCAAAACATGTGCAGACTAGTATGAATACTGGGGGATGCCAACGTCATGCCGCTGGGGCACTTTTGGCAATGGAAAACTTGATTAACAAGTTTGACTTGCATGTCAGCACCACAAACACAACAATTCCCTCATCTCCTCTTCCTCCTTCCTTCGACGCTCTGCTTCTGCCTGTTCACAGCCCAGCAAAGCATGCACTAACAATTTGCGCCAAGGTTGCAGGGGTATGTGGAAATTTCCCACAGACATATACCTATACATATCAGACAGCCCAGGCAGCACGAAAATTTGCTGTACATCGCTGCGTTCTCATGATGTTTCACGAGCATTTAACTCTCGTCTTTGTGAACTGCACAGACCTCATCACCTACATGCATCCCATTTCACTGTCATGTCCTCCTCCCTTTCTCTTCGCTCCTCATCTTGTTTCCTCATGTTCTGCTTGCGATTATCATTGATGTCAACTATACGCCGCATCAAATGCAGCTCAGGCCCAATGAAGCCCTGAGTCAAGCGCCACTTTGCCAGTTCTTCTTTTGAAACCAGTTCCTTCTCCTCCTCTGAGCCTACCAGACTTCATTCCGCATCGTGATAAAAGAGACAAATGAAGTTAAGAGCTGGTGGTTGTCGCAAACTGTGGCTGATCTGCCTCCTTCATCCTCTTGTTTCTCTTTGTCTGCCTTCGGAAGAGTGCGATTTATGGATTTGGTGAACTAGGGCAGTTGCAGCTGGAGACATCATCAGAACTGACACGGTTGACACAACTGACAGAGTCGGGGAAAACTCAGGTCGCATACGTCGCATACGTCGCAAACGTCGCATACGTTGCATACGCGGTGTGAGTCGCATATGGTCACATCTTGCTGACCTCCTTCAGCAAAGCTCGCTTTGCAGCGCGCTGCTGCCGCACCATCTCTTGACGGGCAGCCTCCGCAGCCTCAGCCTCCTAGCAATGCTCGCCGAGAGATTGCTATAAAATTCATGACGTTCCCAAATGCCTATGATGCTTTGTATTTCATGGATTTGTTGCAACAACCTTGGAACCCTTTTCTGGTGGCCAACTCACAGAACCAATGGCCAAACTGCTGGCAATGCTGGCACTTCTCCGCATGACTTTCCTGTGTTGTTCGCTAGCCGCTAGCAGATCTCTCTATCTCTCTCTCTTTCCCTCTCTCCATCGCTTCGCTAGCAGATGACAGCAGCTGTTTTGGACCATCTTTTGCTTCCCGCCCGCTTTCCACACCCCTCTGCAACTCTAAAGGAAACACCACTCGAAATTAGAAGCGCTCTCAGTGCATCCGCTAAGACCATTCCACTTCCCACCTTTCACGGTGCCTTTTAGGTTCCAGCTCTGGCCTCTGCTTCTTGGCGCAAGCGCTCTGCCTTATCAGCAGGGTCCTGAAGCAAGTGCTTGAGGCCACCACTGGTGAATGAACTGCTCCTCAAATATCCCTAAATCATGAACAAGTTCAAAAAACTTTGTCGGAAATCGTCAAACCTTCTAAACTGCATAAGTTGCACTGGCTTGGAGACTTCGCAAATTGCCTCAAAATCTTCCACATCCAGAGGGCTGACACCTGACATCTTGCTGCGAGTGTCACTTGCGACTGCTGTCTTCCTTTTTTGATCTTTTTTGATGTGTTTTCACGGTTTTCAGCAGCTGGCCTGGCTCTTCAGCCTCACCTTCAGTTTTTCGGCGCCGTGGCCCTTCAGGTCTCTTTGACGAGATATGCCTACAGCTCCATGGAGCTCTGAAGTCACCGTGTTCGGCTCTGTTCAGTTCTGTTTGGCCCTGCCTTTCACCTGGATGTTCAGCTTGAGTTCGCTTGGTCGCTGGGTGCGCATAGAAATAGGCGCCAGGCTTCGAACGTGATTCCACCTTGAAGTCTGCTTGGTCTTTTTTTACTCAATACATGGAAAAGAATGGAAAAGAAGTGCCAAACTCTCCTGGATCCCAAACTCTCAGAAAACTGCGAATGCTTTTGCCAAGGCTTTCACGCGAATCCAGCCCGGCGGTAACCCTTTTGAATCCGCTGACCGGTGCGACCCTGCTGCACGCAGCTTCTTTGTCTTAACCATGGCTACGAAAAAGGGCCAGCTACAAGTAAAGAGCAAAGGTCAAAGCCATTGGATCTCTGGACTGTAGAAAATGTATGACATGGATTTGCATGGATCTGCAAAACATGCTTTTTTTTTCTGCAAACGTCCTGCACTCCATGCAAAGAATCATTCTGGCCAGCAAAGCATGCATTCTGCATGAGTTTCCTTTGCTGTCTTCGCAAAAGTTGTTTCTCCAAAACTTAGATAGCCAAAAAAAGAAATATCCACAGAGGCCATGGAACATGCCCCCATGCTCCCGCCAGTAGTAGTAAGGGACAGCAAAGCCCAAAACATGACATAGCCTGCATGGACCTGGAAAGGAAACAGCGGATTGCTCGCACCTCCTCCAGTAGTGAGTGTTGCTTCAGAAGCAAAAAATGTCATCATCTTTGTACCCCATGGCATGCAGCGCAGGGTAGCAAGCCTTCTCCAGCATCACAGGAGGCCCACACATCAAGCAAACGCCTGCACCACTCGCTGGGAAGAGAGCAGCTTTGGTCATGGCTCCATCAACGAAGCCAACATACCCCTGCCAAGTTGCATAGTTTTTGACTGGGCTTGCGTTTTTCTCCGCTGCAGGGGTTAGCCTGTCCACAGTGAGGCTCAGTACAAAGCGGTCAGGATGCTTTGCTGCCAGTTCTTCCAGAATGTCTCGTGCAAGAATATCATCTACGGTACGATTGGCATAGAGAAAGCGCACTTTGGTCGTGTCTTTGGGATCGCGGAGAATGGCAGACAGGACCTGGTAGCACGGAGTGAGGCCAGTGCCACCAGCAATCATGGAAATCTCCTTGCAAAAGCAAGACTTGCCGTTCATGACATAGTGACCCTTCCCTTTGTACTCAAACTCACCAATGGGCCCCTTCACATCAATCGCATCGCCTATCTTCATGGATTCCAAATGCTGGGACATCTTGCCACCTTCTGGAAAGTTGGGGTGGACACCTCTGAAGTACACCTTCACAAGCAGGTCAACATGACCCAAAGTGCTGTCATCTGTCATGGGTGTGTAAGCCCTCATCACAGGCTTGCCGTCGATCTTGGCTTTCAAAGTAATGTGCTGACCAGTAGGAAGCCCTAGCCGCATTGATGGAGGCAACTTGAAGCGGAAGATGCGAGCATCATGATTCACAGCAATCTTCTCCGAAAGGTAAAGCTGCAAGCTGACTCGAGGATTCAAGAATGCTGAAGGTCCAGAGAACGAGAAAGCAGAGAGTGCAACAAACAAAGGTGAGAACGAGAACGAGAAAGCCTTCCAAAACTGACCAGCAAGGCCGAACAAAGGTCGCAGCAAAAGCCAGGGTACGAAACCCATGGAGGATATGGCGCTTGCGACTGTAAGCGGATGGACTGCGCTCAAGGCAGGCTCATCACTTGACGGGCCAAGGCGGCCAATGTAGTAGTCGTTCAACATCTCCCATGCACGTGTTGAGTGCACTGCTTCGAAATCCTCCGTGGCCTCCATGCCTCCAACGAGCAGAATGGATGAAGCTCCCCCAGGATGATCCTTCAGAAAAGGTGTGCCATCATAGACGTTGTCATTCACAACAAACCAACAGGACTTCTCAGAAGCATGCTGCTTCACCTCTGCCATACTGATACTCCTGACGTTCAATTCCTTGGAAGCCTTGGAAACCTTGGACTGCAACGAGATTGGATTCTGCGTGGCTTTGGCGCCTGTCCACAGAGCCGCCACTGGCCTCATGGGTGCCATACCCGTCTTGCCACGTGTTGCTTCAACTGCAAACTTCTCATTGAACTCGCCAGCAGCATCAGTCATCCAACCACCAGGCATTGATCCCTGTGTTGGGTGTTCGAACCACGTCATGCCCCTCTCGCGGTGTATTTTGATCCGGTAGATCGGATTATTCAACATGCCCATGACGGTCCAGGTGAGTTGCACAGGCTGGGAGTTCTGATTGGAATCCCAAGCACGGCAGCAAATTTCTTCACAGGTTTCTAGCCTTCTTATGTCCACTTCTGTCTCCCACCAAGCCCAACACCAGTGCTTGTCAGTACCACGAGCTTCTGCAATCTCATCTTCGGGTCTTGTGAGCTCCGTGATCTCCCACGACTTTCCAGAGTCCAAAGAAATCTCCGCACGAATGATCTTGTGGCCTCCACCAGTGTAGGCATAGCCAGACACTTTCAAAGTAGACATCGTCTCCGTTGACGCCTCCGTAGATGCCTTTGGCGCGTCCAGCACGAGGGAGTTGTGACGTGGCTCAAACATGGCAGAGTTGATATTCATGTGATTGATGATGTACTCCGGTTTGTACCACCATCCTTCTGCGTAAGCCAGGTCCGCATCCACATGTGGTGGCAGCACGCGGTTGTCGAAGTAATGGTAGTGGTTTTCAGAGGGCTTGTCTGAGACCCACATGCTGCTGAGCCACTTGATCATGCGGCCCCCAATGCAGCCAGGCAGAAGTGTGCGCAATGGGAAACCATGGTCTGGAGTTAAAAGCTCTCCGTTTTGCTTGAAAGCAAGCAGCACATCTCGTTCTCTGTCAAGGGCCCAGCCCAAGTCAATGGAAGTTCCGTAGGAACCTGTCTTGCCTTGAGGCAGTTCACCCAAGGGACCCTCAAAATGAACAAAGCGATGCTCCTTCGAAGGCCGAGTGATGCCCACTGCTGCAAGCACGTCGCACAGCCGAACCCCTGTCCAAACAGAGTTGCCAACAGCGCCTGCCCCCCAATCAAAACCAACAGTCTTCTTGGTCATATTTTGTTCCTTCCGACGGTTGCCTGCGCAAATGAAGGTGACCGGCATGGAAACGATGCTTCCCCATTCTCCGGAGGCAATCTGCTCCATGCTGAGGTCAATGGGTTTTGGCACTCCTGTGATTTTCAACTTGTGCTCAGACCAGGAAAGCTGCGGCACAGCACCATGGTTCCGTACCACATGCAAAGAAGGAGGAGTGATCCAACCAGCTTCCTGCAAATGCTTCAACGGTGCCTCTGAGTTGAAGGGATGTGCTCCAGTGTTGCGCAGCATGGCTGGGTGCCTCTTGATCCAGTTGTCCGGTGTACCAGCATCACGTGCATCTACCTCCGATGCATCCTGACGTGGAGGCATTTCCAGGCTAGTGTCCCACAGAGATGTCGACAAAGCAATCTTCCCGTCCACCATCTTTCCATCTCGCATGGGTTCGGCCATCCTGAGGGCCCTCTATGCTCAAGCAATGTGAGCTGAAAAACCTGTAGCGGCCCCAACAGTCGGCAACCTTGAGCCTTTCGATCAGCGTCTTAAATGACGCATCATTGGATCTGCAAAACATGCAAAGCTAAGGACGCTGGAACACATGTGTATTAAATCTATATGCCAACATGCAATACTGTTTCAATGTCATACGGTCATACGGGAGAGTGTGAGTGTATTTGTGTATGGGTGTGAGTGTGTGTTTGTGTGTGTGTGTGTGTCTGGATGGCTGGGTAGTTGGGTGGAGGGTGGTGTCTCTGTGCACACTCTCTTGTCAGTTCCTATGCACAGTCTATGGCCAGGCATTCCATCTTGTGCTGGGACGTTGCAAATTGCCTGCCTTTCATTGTAGGTCAAGCTTTCCTTGAACAATCATCAAATCAAATGTGCTTGAATCATCTTGAATCCAGCCAAGGTCAAGGAACCCAGATTCAATCATCCCTCAGCCAAGTACTGAACTCTGCCACTGGCCACTTTTTCATTCATCTACTGTTGGCTATGAATCAGCAAGCAGCATGCAGTGGTGATTCACCGCCGCTACCTGCCAGTCGCAAGGTGGACCTACAGCCTTGCAGCTGTCTACGGAAGGATTAGGGCGTGCTCAAACTTCAAACGGAGCAGTGACGCCAAATTGAAGTGCGCAAAGCGCAGGAATAGCAAACCTCAGTGCGATGGCCCGTCCGAACGACACCAAAAGGATCCAAAAGGACGCACCAATGCACATCAGAATTGAAGCAGCCGTGTCTGAGACCTACCGCTCCAGCCACTGCTCTGTTCTTTCACAACCAAGCATCAAGAAGAGTAGCTGCAATGGAGCACCAAATTTGAAGTAGTCATGGAATTCGTATGGGCCCATGCCTCGGAGCAGCCCTCCTTTCTTGACGTTTCTTGACGCAAGCCTGAAAGGATCTGAAAGGGCAGTGTAAATATTCGGCCAAGAAGCCTTTGATCATGATGTTCGCTGATGTGGCAAAAGGGGTTGCAAAGGACGCATTGGCAGAGAGCATCAACACTATTGCTGCGGTCTTTAGTTTCCTCAGGGTTGAACCAAGCGCGCAAAGGATGCAGTTTTTTCAGCTTGCAGTCCCATTTGTGATTAGATAAGTCAGATTGAAGACCGGCCTGTCACTGCCTGCTACTGAACTGTTACTCATGTTACGCGCAAACACCCCCTTTCGCCCACACACAACTTTTGCAAGGTTTCCAAGTACATTGAGGAGCGATATTGGCTGGCGTGTTGAAGGGAATCTTCAACAGAGTTTCTAGGGAATCATTAAATCCCCACCCCCGTTAAGCTTTATATTCAAGGGAATCTTCAAGATGTTTCAACAGAGCTTCTAGGAAATCATTAAATCCCCTCCCCCGTTAAACTTTATATTCAAGGGAATCTTCAAGAGGTTTCAAAAGAGTTTCTAGGGAATCATTAAATCCCCTCCCCAGTTAAACTTTATATTCAAGGGAATCTTCAAGAGGTTTCAAAAGAGTTTCTAGGGAATCATTAAATCCCCTCCCCAGTTAAACTTTATATTCAAGGGAATCTTCAAGAGGTTTCAAAAGAGTTTCTAGGGAAACATTAAATTTTATATTCAAGGGAAACTTCAAGATGTTTCAACGGAGTTCCTGGGGAATCATTAAAATCCCCTCCCCCTTTAAACTTTATATTCAAGGGAATCTTCAAGAGATTTCAAAAGAGTTTCTTGGGACTCGTTAAATCCCCGCCCCCGTTAAACTTTTTGTTCAAGAGAATCTTCAAGAGGTTTCAACAGAGTTCCCACCCCCGTTAAACTTTATATGCAAGGGGATCTTGAAGATGTTTCAACAGATTTCTAGGGAATCATTAAATCCCCACCCCCGTTAAACTTCATATTCAATGGAATGATGATGATGATGATGATGATGATGATGATGATGATGATGATGAATGAGGATGAGGATGATGATGATGATGATGATGATGATGATGATGAATGAGGATGAGGATGAGGATGAGGATGAGGATGATGATGATGATGATGATGATGATGATGATGATGATGATGATCATGATGATCATGATGATCATGATGATCATGATGATCATGATGATCATTATGATGATCGTGATGATGATCGTGATGATGATCGTGATGATGATCGTGATGATGATGTAGATGTAACATTCAACGCATAGGTTGCTAAGCTGTGCGTTGCAAGATGAAAGCTATTCTCCTGGACATGTGCATTTTGTCCCACAAAACACAGTGTTTTTTGATGTTCGGACACGTGGTGGACGATGGCGCGGGCAAGAGGAGGGGTTTGCCCGTAATGTTACAACAAGTATTTTTTTAAAAAAAAAAGCAGCCAAGTGGGACAAGTAGGACCAAGCAGGACAAGCTTCATGGACTCTGCTGCGCAGACCTTCATGGCAATGGGGGCCATCAGAGCTGCAGTCGCTGTATGAGACATCAGATTGGAGAGGAGCGAGGTAATGAAGGACAATGCCATCAGGACTCCGATAGGGTGGCCCATTGCCACATGGTGCCCAGCAGCTACCACCATCTTGGCCCAGGCATTCGCCAAACCACTTGCCTTGATAGCCTGACCACACAGACTCAGCAGGACCTTGCAAATCCACAAAGGCCTATGGCCTGATGAACCTAAATCGACACAGCGTCAACCAGTCAACTCATCATGACGTGCAAATTATGCTTGATACTGGGCCTGACCAACTCCAAGACCACCCGCAATGGTCAAAAAGATGGGCAGGTTTAATCGTTGCAAAACCTGAGCTGATGCTCATGTGCGGTCCCGAAGCTTGTTTCTTTCATCTGCCAAAAACTTCAAAATTATATAAACAGCTTTACCCCACAAGTGACCAAAGAGAAAATGAAGTTTGGCTTCGTCATGAAAGAGAAAAAAGAACGCATGTAGGCATGTAGGATGGCAAATCCAACTTTGCCACCACTATATAGCTTCAGTCCAAGTGACCAATTCTCGGTGGACGACATTGAAGACAACGCAGCAAGTTACGGCGGCTAGGCCGAGAAAAACAAGGTCTCCAAATTCCCTGACGAAAGCGCGGCTACAAAACAAACATGCTCAATGTCACACTATGAGTTTGCTCCCAAAACAAGCCGGAAATGCTCGAGTTCCATACTATGGACGCACTAGGAACGATGTCCGATTTTCAGCAGATCGTGGAAGTTGCAGCTGAGCATCATCAGCGAAAAGAGGATGACACTGCCAAGGAGAAGCAGGGCCAGCCAACCTCTTCGTTGATCCACGGTCCTTCCATGTCTTGGAGGCGCAGACTCAGGCACCAAAGCGACGAAGCTGAAGTCTGTTTCCACCTCAACGCAAGGTCTTTACAGGATGACTGTGAAGCTGAAGCTGCTTTCCCATTAACGATTTAATGCTTTCGGAAGCTGGGACGCAGAAGCCATTGTGTATCACAAAAAGCGGGAAACCTTCACAAAAAATGTTCTCAAGTTACAAGCACTTCTTGCCTTCTGTCACGAACCGGACTGACTTGCAGCCATGGAACCTCCGGCAGGTCGGGAAACTCAAGGAAAGCTTCCACTAGCAGGATGTCTCCAACCTTGCTGGGAAGCAGGTGAGCGATTCAATGTGACTAAAGGTCTCTCAGTCTTGTAGTTTTGTAAGTTGCTGTGGTGCTGAAAGAGACGCAGCACGCACTGAAACAGACTCTGCCCTGCCCACTGGTCAGATCAAACTGGTTGTGCATGATCTGTTGAAGATTTTGAAGCCAGTCACAAGTCCGGATAAGTCAAATAAGTCAAGGACAAGCAGCATTCAGTGCTTCTCTGAACTCTCCCAATTCTATGGTGATGATATCATCGTTGGCATTGGCATCCCAAAAGAATTCCACTCTGCCTCTCAGGCGTGCACCCTGATTGATGCCCTTCCCATGCCACTACTATCGAAAGTGGATCGTTTCCCGACCAAGCGCTCGAGCAAATCTATTGCGCAAACAAACCAGTGCACAAACAATTTCAATGCAGGCATACAAAAACCCAGGTGGCAAAGGAGCAGACGCGCGATGACAACTGTAGATCGTGACCGGATGGTTTCCTAGAACAAGTCTTTGGCGTTCATATATTCACGGGCAGAGCGGGACGCCAGTGACGAGCCAAGAAACACCAGCTCTACAAGACCGGACAACAGTGACAAAAGAGCTACAAGGGACGCGGTGTAAACTAGGAACTGGACAGAAGCTGACCTCAAATAACACTGTTATACACATTTATATCTATTATATATATATACATGTATGTATGTATGTGTGTGTGTAATAATTTATGCCAATTTTCAAAGAAATGCAGATGCATTGCAAAAATGAAAGACGTATCGTGACGTATCGTGACGAATCCTACATTCAAACAGTGCAACAAAGGGCTTTAGGGTGAAGCCATGGTGAAGCCATGGTGAAGCCATGGTGAAGCCATGGGAGAGCGAGGTACAGCTTGCCTTGCGAATGTCTTCGACGAGGCCGTCTGCTTGGAGGGCTTGCCATGTTGTGAGGCTGCGGTCGCCGAGCCGCAAGACATGTGGCCTTTGCAATCTTTGCATTTCGAATGATTTCGAATGATTTCGAAATGATTTCTATGATGTTTCTATGCATTTCTGGCTTCAGGAATTGGCTATACTGGCTATGCTGTTTCCATCGTTTTCCTCCTTGATAGTCAAGCAATATTTTGGGAGATGTACTTTGATCTGGTCAATGTCAGACAGAGCCTTCCAATCACCTTCTAGTGCCCTTCCATGTCTTTGCGACTCTGCATTGTGCTTATATCCACAAATCCCTTCACCCACCTGGTTGAAGATGATTGGCAGCTTGCCTCAACAAAACATGAACTCTGGACCTTTGGAAGGATGAGGATGGAAAAAAGTCACACAATCCAGGAGCATAGATTCATATAGATTCTAGATAGAAATTGAGGCCTCTCAAAAGGTGCTAAATCATTGGGAAGTGACAACCAATAAGCGATGACCCTGGAGCTATTCCAACCTCGAACAGCCGGCGCCTGTGCCTTTGGGCTCCTAGCACTGCCAAGGGGTCAAGGCCCTGCAGGACAAGGCCTGGGCTTCTGTTTCGGATTTGCGCCTCGGAGACTCGTGGCCAACTGTAAGCGACCCTCTAGCAGCAGCTAGCATACACAAATTTCATCAAAATTAAAGGGGGGGGAAAAAAAAAAAAACATCACAAACTGCACATCAATCTGATCATATTTGGCAATCTTCACGAACAAGATACGACCCCAGATGCAGTCGCTGCAAAGTTCAAAAGGTTGCCAGCTTTCATTCGCTGATCAATGGGAAAGTCTGTGTCGACCAGGACTGCGCCAGGCATAGAAAGTAAACCAGCTTGTGCGACCGTTGAGTCGATCAAAAACGATCCTTTCGCAACCTGGAAGGACAAATAGTAGCGGTTGTGGAGTTGATGCCTCATATGCTCTCTGTTGTCAAGATGGGTCTCTTTCCCAACAGAGCTGAGGAGTGGTTTGGCAAGAAAAATGCAATAGATAATTGTGAGCAGTGTCAGGGCAATGCACGCAAGCGCAGGATCCAGCATTTGCAGCTCTGCTTCTGGCATTGTTTGGTAAATGGTCAGGGCTACGGTGGAAGTTACGATCATCAAGTTTTGGCTCACGGCACCCACTGTCGAAACAGGAAGTAACACTTCGCGAGGTGACCATCCGGCTCTCGGGGCCCAACGTTGCAACGCTGGAGCGGCTGCAACAACAACAGTGGTTTGTTGGACAACTGCCCCTAACAAAGCTGTCACCAGCTGCACCCGCAGAAAAGCCTTGGTATCTTTTTCTTCTGTTCCAAGCAATCGGGAAAAGATGTGATCCAGCACACCAGAATCCTGAATTCCTGCCACCAGAAGAAGCACAGCTTGAAATGCGATGTTGCCGGGGCTGGAGAAACCAGCCAGCGCTTGTTCGGTCGAGATTACCCCAGTACTGCCCAAGAACGTCACAGCTCCTAAGAAGACATAATGGCTTCGATAGCCGTTGATCATCATGGCTGTGGCAAGAAGAAGCACATTCCCCACCAGCAAAGCTTGCCAAGGGTTTGAGTGACATCGCTTGTGACCATACCTTCCAACTTCACAGACCTCGAAGAGCCTTCGCCACTCTGGATCATTGTCCGCACGATAGCCAACTGCCATACTGCAACATGCTGAGAAGAGGCATAGTACAAGTATTCCTGGGCTGCTGGCAACACACATGAAGAGCCTTCACTTGAACTCGCCCAAAAAAACAAAAAGCCAATAGATACGTATGTACTAGACTTTTAGATATACAGGCACACGTTCATAGTATGACAACATCATATCAATCTAACTTCATGCTATAAGCGAGAGAGAGAGAGAGAGCGCGAGAGTTGTTAATTGCACATAAATTGTATGCACACATCGTTTCGAACAGTTTTTGTAGGGTTTCCAGTGGGAGACACACAAGTTACACAAGTGGCCAAATCATGGCAGGGCTCTTGCACTGCACATCTCAGCTAAATAGCTCTTCCCTGTTCTGAAGCTTCGCAGGGGTGTCACTGGCGAGCCCGGTGAGCATGGCTCCATTGGCAACCCAGACAGTCCCACCGTCCCACTGTGTGAAAAACGAAGCTGGGCGCCTCGGCACCTCTGTCTCAACAGCTGGGGGCACTTTCTATTGAAGTCCATATGAACCTCTGCTATGTGGTGTCATCGGCACTCAAGTTGTGTTCTCTATGGAGTCTAAGGATGACGTGCTGGTTGGCTCGATTTGATGGAAGCAGGCTTGTACCTCTTGATTGTCTCCCTCTTTAGCAAGTTGTCATTTCATCACAAGTGGCCTACACTTTCCTCTCAAAAAAAAAAAGCTGTTCCGGAATGTGTTTGACAAGAAAAAGTGCGGGCCGATGGATCTTCGGGCAGATTTTGGCTCCCGTCATTCCATGCTTTCCTTTGAGACTCACCTGCCACTCAACTCTGCAGCGTCCATGGCTTTTTGCGAACCCGCCAAGTTGATCACAAACAAATATATATATATATATAACGGTTATGCATGATTGCGCACATGAATATACACGTAGTACAATATATATATATATATATTATATGTGTGTGTGTGTTGTATTATTTACTGATTGATGTTATCCGTTTATTTCTATGAAATATTTATCTATATATTCATTTATTGATTCATCTATTGTTTTATAAAATATTTTTTTAAATACATATCATATGTGTATATATATATATATATCGTTTTGGAGTGGGTCAGCACCTGGCCAAGCTGTGACCCCTGACACCCCAAAACTATTGTGCATGCCGCAAATTTGGGAAGGCATTTGCAATGTATGGTACCGTCCGTATGGTATATAACCAATTTTCACCAATTTCACTACCAACACTTCTTCAAAAGAATGTGACTCAGTGTGACTAAGTCAAACTCGTGTCATCTTGGCTGCGTGAGACAGGTGCATCTTTCAGGAAGCAATTCACTCTGACAGATGCAAATTAACGGGCGGCTTCAGTCAGCGCAGGGCGGAGGACACTTCTTAGGAGTGGCCTTGGCGTAGGCGACATGCTTTGCATTGCTTTGCTGTGTGGATATCCCCTCAGCCTGCCTTGTGCACTTGAGCCTGCCACAACTGGCCACAACAGGTCACACATGGACATGCCACGGACAAATTCACCCGAAGCTGTCCCGATGTCCCCAACCCCACCTGAAAGTCCCGGAAACTTGAGCTGGCGGTGAGGCCAGGGTACCAGCGTGGATGCTCGCGAATGCCTGAAACTGCACTTCCAAAAGCTATACAAGTCCAATCAAGTCACATTATGGACCAGGACATTCCTCTCTGATGGCAGTGCCGACAGCCAATGAGAGTGTTTCAAGCTGAACCCTGCGATAGACCAAGGTACCGTGAAGCATTGCCCATCTAACAGCTGAATAACAGGACTGTCCAGGCTTCGCGTCCTTAAAAGCCATTGAAAACTTGCCAAGTCAGGTCATGCTCATGATTTGCCAAACATAGGTCAAAAAATAGAGAATCTCTGTTCCTTGCTTTCAAGGTCATGAAACATCTTACCAGTCTTCCTTCCATACTGATCCTATTTTTGAGTCATCTTGCGCATGGCACTGGCCAATGCATCGATTCTGAGTAGGAGCTGAAATGCCGTGCAAACTCTTTGCTTTCAGTTCTTAGATCATTATGAGTTAACTGATGATTCTGTGTGTATGTGTGTGTGTGCTACATAAATCGCTATCTCCGCGTTCCTTGAGGTTTCCCGTCTTGGCATCCAAGGCGCACTGCATCCCGGAATGGACACAGCCGGCGCGGGAGTTGCTGCAGCCGGTGCAGGAGTTGTTGCTGCCGGCTCTTCCTTCGCTGGAGCTGCCGTAGCCGCGCCACATGGCACAGCACAAACATTTGGCGATGCCTTGGATGAAGGTGGAACGCTTCAAGCGGGGCAGAACACTCTGATCAGAGACTGCACTGACTGCACAGCTACACAAAGCCTTTCGTCACCAGTAAGCTTGCCCGTCTATAGTGACTGGGCCGTCTGCACGGTGAACTTGAGCCTCCAGAATGTCCAAGAATGACAATATCTCCAAAAGAGGGCTCAAATGAGTTCTTTTCCAAAAGATGCATCTAATTGGCCTGAAAGTCGGAGAAGCTCGACGACGCTGACAGGCCAGGATACCAGTTGGGGTGCAGACGAATGCCTGGCGTCTCAGAGGAGAAAGTATTTAAAATGATTCAAGACTGATCCCAGTCCAACCATAGAAGTGAATAGTATCAACCCATGCCTTTGCTCAAGCAAAATGCCTAATGTTAGCTACCGATTAATGCCATGATACCCTATTGCAAGATTTTGTTCAAACATAATTCAGTTCGCTCGAATTGTTGGGGGGGAACTCTATTGTGAGATTTGTTTGCAGTTTTTCGTTTGTTTTACACGTTTTTTTAATTTTTGTTTTTTTTCAGTTTTTTTTTCTCAGATCTATTTTTTCAGTTTTTTTCCAAATATTTAGATGCCTTATTAAATCCTTATTATTAAAAAAAAAAAAAACAGCACCCAGACAATTTTTCAAGGGGGTACCTCATGAGTGGCTCAGATACTCAATAATATAATTGTTTGGATGGTACTCTACTGTGCACAACAACTTTTGGGAGTGAAAAAAAACAAAACCCTTTCTCCACCTTTCTGTGGGTAAAGCTGGTCCCTTTACTTTAGAAAGCCATATTCATGTTAATTAAAGCTTCAAAATGCAAGGTTTTCCAAATAATTAGCTGCCTTATTAAACCCTTATTTAAAAAACAGCATCCAGACAATTTTTCAAGGGGGTACCTCATGAGTGGCTCAGATACTCAATCATATATATAATTTGGGGAGTGCCTTGGCCTCTTTGTCTGTGGAGGCCAGAAACTATTTCTTAAATAAACCCAATTTACAGAAACTATTTCCTAAATCAACCGTAAGTTGGGAAACTATTTGAAATTATTTCTTAAATAAACCCAATTTACAGAAACTATTTCTTAAATCAACCCAATTTACAGAAACTATTTCTTAAATCAACCCAATTTACAGAAACTATTTCTTAAATCAACAGAATTTGCAGCAACTATTTCCTAAAAAAATCGAAGTTTTGGAAACTTTTGAAAAATATCCAAAAAAAAATACAGCAATAAAAAAACTAAAAAAGTAATTCAAGTTACGCCTTCTAGGGATTGGTCTGAAACGGTTTGAAACGGTTTCGGACTATTACCTAGCAAGTAGTGGGAAACGGCTTGAAACGGTTTCGGACTATTTGCTAATTAGCCATTCTCAGAAACTATTTGAAACTATTTGAAACTATTTGAAACTATTTGCAGTTTTTGCCAGGGTGAATTAGCAAATAGTAGGAAACGGTTTCGGACGGTTTCGGACTATTACCTAGCAAGTAGCGGGAAACGGTTTGAAACGGTTTCTGTGATACCCTTACTGTGCCTTAAATCATCTAACAAGACAATATACCAATAAAGATAAATAAAACCTAAGTTGACAAATATAGACACATATAGACACATTATGACATATTGAAACTCCTTACAGATTGAAAAGTAAGAAAGAAACAGTGACTGATTCTGAGATGAGGAGTCAAAGAACATAGAACGAAACAGAATGAACATAGAACGAAACAGAATGAAGGGTGCCTGCGTGGCAGCCTCTCTCTCTCGGTGAGAACATGGCTCACTTGTCTGGGGCAATCTCTGGACTTTAAGTGATTGACTGCTATCCTTGTCCAATGGTTGGGATTGGTAAAAGCAATCCTGGTTTTGTAAATGGTTTCTGGGTTTGGGGCCCAGATTAAGAAATAGTTTCTAGGATTTAAGAAATATTTAAGAAATAGTTTCCAGGATTTAAGAAATAGTTTCTGGGATTTAAGAAATAGTCCCTGGGAGTTAAGAAATAGTTTCTGGGATTTAAGAAATAGTTTCCAGGATTTAAGAAAAAGTTTCTGGGATTTAAGAAATAGTTTCCTTTCATATTTACCTCTTAGGAAAGTTAAGCTGGTAGGCTCCCGACGAAACCGGACCCCCCGGGCTCCCGCGACAGACCTTGACAAATAGAGAAAAGTTCAGGCACACACCAGTCCGGACTTTTGGGGGAAACCCCTGACTTGGGTATCCTCTGAGGTGTCTAAAATGCCATGTGGCAAAGGCCTGCTAACACAATCCCCCAACTCACCCGCAAAGGCTATCAGCCACATGGTTTTGTTTGGGGAGCATTTTTTTTGATCCCACAACTTGTGGGTATCGCGTGTGGAATTATTCGCGGCGTTGTATGGTGCATTTGGCAAAAACTGCGCTGGGACAGGGTATGTGTTTATGTTGCTGTTTGACACACCCTTTCCTGGATTGAAACCGCATTGCAACTGGTATGGCGCGATAGTACTCCCAATTGGATTCTAGATGGTTTCAAGTTTCAAGCGTCAACAGTTTCAGTGTGGTGAGCCATGGGTGAAGGAGGCTCTAGTACTATTAAACTGGCATGTGCGGTAAAGACATTAGTTCTTTCGCACCACAAACTACCATTGGCAAATGCGTGTTCCAAGATTGACCAGGTTTGCCCTGACAACATGGTCAATATCAACTTTTACTTGCAAATATTACCCTTTGATTCAAGTAATGGTTTCTGGGAAATCAACATGATTTAGCAAATGGTTTCTACATGCTCTACTTTATCTGAAAAAAAAATCTACATATCCTACTTATTTAGCAGATGGTTTCTAGTATTTAGCAAATGGTTTCTAGTTTTTTGCACATGGTTTCCGGAATTTGGCAAATAGTTTCTAGTATTTAGCAAGTGGTTTCTAGTATTTAGCAAATGGTTTCCAGTATTTAGCAAAATAGTTTCCAGTATGTAGCAAATAGTTTCTAGTATTTAGCAAATAGTTTCTAGTATTTAGCAAATGGTGTCTAGAATTTAGCAAATGATTTCTACCTGTGCAAGAAATAGTTTCTGGATTTTACAGAAATGGCAAATAAAGAAGCCAACGCGCTCCACAATATATAATTGTTTGGATGGCACTCTAGTGTGCGCAAAAACTGTTGGCAGTAAAGAAACAAAACCCTTTCTCCACCGTTCTTTGGGTAAAGCTGGTCCTTTTACTTTGGAAAGCCATATTCATGTTAATCAAAGCTTTAAAATGCAAGGTTTTTCAAATAATTAGCTGCCTTATTAAACCCTTATTTAAGAAACAGCATCCAGACAATTTTTCAAGGGGGTACCCTATGAGTGGCTCAGATACTCAATAATATAATTGTTTGGATGGTACTCTATTGTGCACAACAACTTTTGGGAGTAAAAAAAAAACAAAACCCTTTCTTCACCTTTCTTTGGGTAAAGCTGGCCCCTTTACTTTGGAAAGCCATATCCATGTCAAAGCCTTGAAACGCAAGGTTTTCCAAATGATTAGATGCCTTATTACCCCTTGTTAAAACAGCATGCAGACAATTTTTCAAGGGGGTACCCTATGAGTGGCTCAGATACTCAATAATATAATTGTTTGGATGGCACTCTATTGTGCACAAAAACTTTTGGGAGTGAAAAAAAAAAAACAAAACCCTTTCTCCACCTTTCTTTGGGTAAAGCTGGTCCCTTTACTTTAGAAAACCATATCCATGCCAAAGCCTTGAAATGCAAGGTTTTCCAAATAATTAGCTGCCTTATTAAACTATTACTAAATTGATTTCAATTGAAAGTAAATTGAAATCAATTGGAAATCAATTGAAAGTAAATTGAAATCAATATCAAAATAAATCAATTGAAAGTAAATTGATTTCAAATGAAAATCAATTGAAAGTAAGTTGAAACCCACTGGAATCAATTGGAAGTCAATTGAAATCAATTGGAAATCAATTGGAATCAATTGGAAATCAATTGAAAGTACATTGAAATCAATTGAAATCCTTACTTAAGTTGACTATCCTGAAAATTGTTGGGGGGCGCAATTAAAAAATTACGAGTTATTCAGTATACTGATACTCAAATTGTTTGGGGGGGCCCTCACACTAACCAGTAGCAAACATTAAACAGATTGGGAAATATTGAGCAGCTTGCATCAATGACAGGGCTTGAAGCCGAAGCTGACAAGTTGCCATCTTTCATTGCCCATCGCACAGCGCTATAGCAACTGCTGCCAGGCGTTGCATCCTCACGGCCCAGATTGCTCGATTTCCAACAACTTCCAACTGACACTTTTGCTGCCCTTGGCCCTTGATCAGTTGCATAATCCTGACAGTCTGGTGGTGGCTTTTGCGTCGTAGTGGTTGTGCTGATGGTCGTTGTTGTTGTGGTGGTTCCAGTGTAGAACCTGGAAAATACAAGATTCCAAATGCAGCACGATGCAGTGCGGAAAGAAAAGTCCAGCAATGGCAGAAACGTACTGTCAAGAGGAGTCAAGAGGCTCTTCAAATTTGAAGTCGCACACTGGAGACAGCATCTCACCTGAGTTGTGTCAAAAAATAGTATCTGTGAAGGAATTTGATTGTCAAAGCCTAGCTTGGCCGCTGGCTATGGCTGGGCATGTCGGGATATTTCTTCTTGAAAAGCGCAGCAACCTGCGCAAACGTGAACAAATCATTTTAACGACCTCTGGAGTGCAGAATGCAATTTCCACCAGCTGAATCAAGAGTTGGAGGAAAGATATTGACAAGCCCAGTGGAATGAGTTGATCTAAGGAACATGGTCCACCCTGGCTTGATTTGCATCGCTATCGTTGAGGCCATCCCTGGGCAGGAAGCAAATCGAGAGCTTGCAGAGTCAAGCTTGGCCAAAGCCTTTTTACGCCATGTTAAGATATGCCAAGGCCGCCAAAGTACCAGAAAGACATGCCAACCCCCTTGTCTGCAGTCTTGTTGAATTCTTCCTTTCCCGCTTTGACGAAGGCAGCATAGTCTGAGATATTTTCGATCTCATTTAATGTCAAATCCTTGGGGCGCAAGGGACCCCACATGATTCCACAATGATTTGAACATCTGAAGAAAGGCGGCTAGATTCGGCTTGTTTCTTCGCGCTGCACTTGCTGGAGTCCCGCAACGCACCATGGATTGCATCTACACAAAAGTTGAGAAAATGTCGAAGTCAATATTGAAATAAATTATGTTGCTAAGAGTAACAGCCAATTTACGAGAAAAGAATGCCGCCAAGCATCACCAGCACGAGAGATGCTGTAAGTGCAATTACCTTGCCCTGTTGGTATGCCCTCCTTGGATTGAGCAGCTTGATGCAGCTTGCAGGACAAGTCTGGAATTGGACTATTTAGACGTGCGATTGGACAAAACGGTCCGTCACTTGGGCATCAACGCACATTCCGCCCGGCTGGTCTTCGATGCAGCTCGCATCCTTGTCCTGCGCTTGTCTTCAAAGGCGTGGAGGCGTGTTCTCAGCAACCGCCTCCAGTCAATCTTTTTTGAGACCTGACCCGTCAATGACCATCCTCTATGCCTGCAGCCAACAGTTGTGTTAGTTGCATGTTTTGCCTGGTTGTGTATGGTCACTTGGTCAGTAGTAACTCCTGCCTTCTGTGCCTTGGACAGTAGCCCACATTCTCTGTTATATGCCTGCCTGGCCTGCCTGTAATGTGCCATGTCTTGGTTCGAGGCTGACTATGAGAAGTTGGCCCTGGGCTGAGTCCGTAGTTCGGTAGCTTGGTTCCTTCTTGGTTGCTTTGCTGCTTTGTTAGGCGCAGCTGGCGCTGGAGAGTCTAGTACTACGTGTGCTTGTCACCCGCTGAATCCCGAACACATGGCCAGCGAGATAGGACTCAACGCAAATAGGACTTAATCCACAATACCAATAAGGATCGCAGCTTGACCGAAGTGGATGAGTTCTGTTTCAGTGCAAAGAGTCCACATCACCACAAACAAGTGATAGAAACAGAATGCGGCAATTTGTTCATGAATTCTCTGACAGTCAAATAGCTAGCTAATCCCAGAGTCCTTGTAAGTGTTGGAAGAACACGCTCCCGGAAGAGTGTACCACCTTGACAATACACGGCTTATGCAGTTTATTCAATTTATTCTGATCTTTACCAGCTTTGTTGTTCCAAGGTTCGGGCTTGGCATCCTCATAGTAGATCTTGTATGTTGGAAAGGGGAACTCCCCAAGATTGTTGCATCCAACAAAGTAGCCATACCTGGGCGGCAATTTTTGAGGCGTTTTTTAGGATGTCCATGATGGAGTCCATGACCTGCAACTGTGGCCGTGACCTCTCGAAGTTCAGATCGCAATTCCATGGACCTGTGCATTGGGCAGCATCGTAGGCGAAGCGCACCTAGGTCGAGCGCAAGCTCCATATTTTGGCTTGACGTGTCAAATAAAGTGAAATATAGTGAAACATACAGTGAAACCTTAATTGTCTTAACTCCACAATTTATACAAATGAACAAAGTATCATAAAGTGTCCAAATGCAGTCCAGAAACTCCAAAATTCATGCCAAGGTCGCGAAGAGGTTGGGTTCCTCGCGTCATAATTTTGTGTCGATAGATCCTGGCATGGCAGACATTATCACTGCTAGACAAATTCGGGCAGGATGGCCGACACGCCCAGCCTAGAGATATTGAACTTCCGTGGCGTCTGCCATACCACCTGCCCAACAAAAAGCTGTGCCCAAAAGCATCCAAATATGCCGTCTAATCTTTCATCTGCTTAAATGATTGCCATCACTGTCATCACTGCCTCGTTGTGCAAATACCACATCACTCCAGGCAGATTGGCAACCTGGTCCCAGAGATGTCCAGAGACCATGACAACTTCTTGAAAGCTCTTGTGCAGGCTGCTTCCAGCTGTTCACTACAAGGTAGTGTCAGATAAGATTACACAAGGGTCATTTCTGCATTGGGCTCTTGGCATTGACGTTTGTCACATAGTCCTCAGGGCAAATGCAGCGATATGATACATCAGAGTGCAAATTCTGTCCTTTGCTGTCACGACTTCAGCTGGACCAAGTGGACGGCATGGAACCATAGCTTTGGCATGCACTAGCAAAACTTCATGCAGGTGACAGGAGCGACAGGGCATGCAAAAGCATGCCACAACCAACCACAACGGGCATCAACCGAATGCACAACTTCAGGAAGAGGGCTACTGACGAAGAGAACACAGCTTCAAGCGAACCCATGTGAAGGCCATCCATATGTGTGCGCGTGTGCGTGTCTGTGTGTGATTATAGATGAATCTATAACATATGCATCTATACTTATTGCGGTGTCCGCTATTGTGTATCTACGTAGTCTTGTATCTTATTATTCCGGTCATAGGCCAAGCAGCTTGGTCGTCAGATTCGGCCCGATAGACGTAGAAGGTGAAGAGCGGAGCTTTACTTGCCTTCCTCATTAGGAATGGAGCATCTGAGAACAAATTGCAGCTGATTTAGATCCCAACGAACAATCATTGAGCCGTACAAAAGCAGCAAAAAGCATCAAAATGCTGGAAAACGGACGAAGCCTTCAAATGCCGAGTCACTGAAGCTCCGCAGAAGGCTTGTACACAAAATGAGGACCACCCATTTTTGTCGGCGCACACTGGTGGTAGTTCTTGTCCACCTGTGCCATGCGAAATGTGAAAAGTATTGACAGCACGTGTCGTTCAAGGAATACTCTCGGCTGTGCCTCCGTGCAAAAGTAGCCTCCTTGGCAGCAACTCTTCCCAACGAAGGGAAGACCACCTGCAGATATCAAAGCAGATCAAACACATAGGACACATAGGACACGGACGTAGGACGAAACAGACTCGTCAGCAGACTTCCAACTCATCCAGGCTGCTGTTTAACAGTCCACCGCATTGCTGAAACTGGAGCTGGCAATGCCTCAGTGTATGCAGATTGCGCACTGTGCTCTGGTGTTTGCTTGTTTTTTATGACAAAATCTATACAAATCTGCGGCAAATTGGGCGAGCCGCTCTGGATCTTCATTTGTGGTTGTAGTGGTCCTTGGCTGGTCATTATTTCCAGCTTCATTTGCCCCACTTGCCACTCGTACACCAGCAATTTCTTTATCACCAGCAATTTTCAAATGGAACCGCATTTAGAACGAGCAGCGTTGTGGTGGTGTTGGCAGCAATGATCTCCTGAAGCATTGCCAGTGGTCAGAAATGTCACAGTGGGCCACAAAAGCAAACCTGGAATCTCCCGAAACATCGCATTGGCCAAAACTGCCAAAGCGTTGAAGTTTCCAAAGCGCCTTCTCCGTCAGGCACGAGAAGTAGTATTCGTTGGTCTAGACCAGCGTGAAAGCAAATCGAAACGATCAACATACTGGACATGCTGCGAGAATGTAAAAGACTAGAGTGACTAGAGACAGGTGACAGACATGTGACCACGAACCACACCTCATGGCAAATCCTACCTGGTTTGCAGCAGGTGGGTCCTTTCCAGCCTTCACCTTGCTGAAGCATCTCACACGACTAGAAGTGTTGTGATGCTTAGTGTGCGCATTGTTCGTGTAAGTGCGTGGCATGCGAGTGCTGCAATATGCAAATTATGTAATGCCATGCACTGCTGTGCAGTTTGGCTGCCATCGTGTTGTCTGCGTGCAGGTGCACACATCGTCTCATGTTTGTTTTTTCTTTGTTCAATTGACGATCTATGTATCTCCCTACTGTCCTTTTAAAATTGAACACCTCTATATTACTCTATATACAACAAATAATATCTTGGATGCTTTGACGAGGACACGACCACCGCACTGAGCATATTCTTCTGCGCAGATCACCTGCGAAGGAATTTTTTTTGCTAACAAGAGTTTTTGCATGAACCATTGCATCATCAATTTATCTGCATCAAGACTGAACTGTGCAGCGTTGTGCAGCCTCCACTTTCGGGCTGGTGCTGTTTGCCGTGCCATTGGCAGTGCCATTGGCAGTGCCATTGGCAGTGCCATTGGCTGTGCCATTGGCTGTGCCATTGGCTGTGCCGTTGGCGGCCGTGCCATTCGGAGTCGCCTTCGCAGGGTTTGGTGATTCAACAGGGTGACACCTAATCGAGCTAGACGCCGCGAACCTGGCAGCTTGAGGCATAAAATCATAAAAGAAATCTTTCATCTGTTCAGGACCATGGCATGATCAGGATCGTTCATCTCTTCTTACTATTCTATACTTTTCTTAAGCACGTTGCTTGCGTCTGCAGAGTGCCTCAGCAGATGGTTCGACAGGCTCGGTTGACGGCGTCTCTTCCGAGGGCTTCTCTGCCGCTGGCGTCTCTTCTGAGGGTTTCTCTGCCGCTGGCGTCTCTTCCGGCGTCTCTTCCGAGGGCTTCTCTGCCGCCGGCGTCTCTTCTGAGGGTTTCTCTGCCGCTGGCGCCTCTTCCGGCGTCTCTTCCGAGGGCTTCTCTTCTGAGGGTTTCCCTGCCGCTGGTGTCTCTTCCGGCGTCTCTTCCGAGGGCTTCTCTGCCGAGGGCTTCTCTGCTGCTGGCGTCTCTTCCGGCCTCTCTTCCGGCGTCTCTTCCGAGGGCTTCTCTGCCGCCGGCGTCTCTTCTGAGGGCTTCTCTGCCGCTGGCGTTTGTGCAGAGGGCTTCTCTGCTGCTGGCGTCTCTACCGGGGGTGTCTCCACTGGCTCTTCTGCAGATTCATCCTCGGTTTCCTCCTTTTCCTCTTTCTCAGGACTCTCTTCAGTCGCAGGTTCTGCAGATGGCTTTGAGGGTTTGAGAGCATCCACAGCATCTTCAACCTCGCTCTGAGCGGTGAAACGCATGCAAGCACAACATCAGTGGCATCTCATGGTTCTCTCTCTCTCTCTCTCTGTGTCTCTCTGTCTCTTTCTCTCTAAACACGAGATGTGAATGCAACACCGAATGCACATCAAGGTCTTTGATGGATGCCTCAGGCTTTGCTGTAGTTCGCCTCAGCAACAAACTCGTACAGTCGTGCCATTGAAGTGGAAAAGTCATCAAGATACTGTCAGTTCTGATCCACACAACATTCAGCAAAGGAGCTCCAAAGCTCTTCTCTGCAGGGCATTGAAGGCACACCTTGGCATCAAATGTTTTCCTGACGGACTGATTCAGCCATTGCACTTGCACAGTGTCGAAGGCAAATTCAGATTTCTCCAGGTCCACAGCTCATTCAAACGGCACTCATCGTCCACTGACAGAGAGGGCTGCTCTACCTGGGATCCTGATGCCAATGCCTGGGTAGTTTCATCCAGATTTGTGAAGATACAGCGCATGGAGGGAAACTCGGTGTAGCAAATGTAGTTTCACAATATGCACTGTGTAAGCTTGCCGCGGGCAAAAAAATGCCAGCCAGCAAATATGCAGCATAAGCCTCGAGCATGAGAGCACAGAGTTGAATACAACTAAAAAGCGACCGCGAATGCAAAGCCAAGCTGATCAATCCCTGACTCAGATCCTGGCATGATGCATCTTATTTCAAATATTTTCAAATCAAAAACGCAAGTAAAGCAGAACAGAGTCTAAAAAGCATCACGCTGATGCTTGAGCCGCAAGCATGATCAAGGTCAAAATCCGTATCCAAGGGTCAGCCTTGCGACACCTGCACAAACGTCTACTCGCCTTGGCCTACAGTACACTTGCCTCAAACAGCAGTACTTTGATGCACTTCGCTCACTGTTTTGCTTCTACGTTTTCCAGATGATCACATTCCAAACGCTGCCAACCTCCTAACACTGCATCCGTGCCATCCACTTTGGGAAGCACCACCAAACGCAGCAAGTCCCGAACCAGGTTGGTGTACACATGGCTCTCAACATGTTCCATGGTTCCTGACGCGATCGCAGGATAGTCGTTAACTTCAAGAAGCCAAACCTTTCCTTCTGCATCAAGAATCGCGTCCAGACCAAATACTTGACAGAGTTCAGCTTCTTTTGGGGTAAAGGGCCCGCGTGGCGCATGATCAATGACAGCTGAAAAAGCTAGCTGCGTCAGCCTGCAAAGCTGCTGCATGATGGATTCGTCTTGTATCACTTCCGGCTTTGGCAACAACTTGATTTTGGCACTGTTGCTGACATGAGCTGCCTTGATGTCAAGGCGCTCTGTGTAGATCTGGCCGTATTCTAAGCAAATTGCATTCTTGTGCAAGTACAGTTGGATGCGCCCGTCCGTTTGTCCATGCAATAAAGCATGCGCTCGCATCACCCACTTCCGACCATTTCGCAGCGATGGCGGAGCAACACAGCGTTGTACAACAAAAGGCTCACAGCCTTTCCACCCGAGTTCGCCCAACCGATGAAGTAGACCATCACGGTCAAAAACATGCACCCCATTTCCCTTCACTCCCAAACTGTGCTTGAGGAAAAAGACTTCTTCGCCGCACTTGCCGCACTTGGGCGGTGTGTTCTCAAGAAAATCCACTGCTCTCCAGGTTTCAGGATGGATGTTGCTGCAACCTGCGTCATTGAGATGTCTCGCCAGACTGGCCTGATCGTTTAGAAATGCCCATGGCTGAACACTGCAAACTTGGTGCACGCTTATTGGACAAGGTCCATCCTAGTACATATCGGCCTCTCCTGTTACCTGAGGCAAGTACAGCAATTCTTATTCTATTCAATTCGTTCGCGCCTTGTCGTCTAGCTTGCGCGTGAACTCCTCGCTATGCTGTAAGCCACGTGTAGGGTTTAAACTGAGCAAAAGAATCAAAGCTAAGGAAGGTGTGTCACCGCTGTGTCACCCTGCGCTCTGTTTTTCCCGAATGCGTAGCGAAGGGGTCCCGTTTATAGTCTGCGGGTCTGGGACCTGGACCCTTGTTCGCCTCGAGTGGCTCGTCGGGCCGGCGTTGCGTCGTCGTCGCGTCGTTCATTCCGTGTCTATGGGGGAAGCTGCAAAATCTCTCTTTTCGAAGGTTTCCAAGCAGGTTGTCATGTTGTTTTGCGTGGCAGGTGTGGCACATTGTGACGTTCCAACCTGTTTGATAACGTGAAATGCTCGTTTTGCTGCGCCCACGTGTCTCGTCTCGAGTCTCTCACTTTGCACTCTACACTTTACACTCCACACTCCACACTCTACACTCCACACTCCACACTCCTCACTCCACACTTTACACTCCACACTCCACACTCTACACTCCACACTCCACACTTTACACTCCACACTCCACACTCCACACTTTACACTCTACACTCCACACTCTACACTTTACACTCCACACTCCACACTCCACACTCTACACTCCACACTCCACACTCTACACTCCACCCTCCACACTCTACACTTTACACTCCACACTCCACACTCTACACTTTACACTCTACACTTTACACTCCACACTCCACACTCTACACTTTCCACTCCACACTCCACACTCTACACTTTACACTCCACACTCCACACTTGACACTTTACACTCCTCGCTCCACACTCTACACTTTACATTTTTCACTTCTCACTACATTTTACAATCCTCACTCCGCACTTTGCACTCCACACTCCACACTCAACACTCTACACTCCACACTCCACACTCTACACTCCACACTCCACACTCCACACTCCTCACTCCACACTTAAACTTTACACTCCACACTCCACACTCTACACTCCACACTCCACACTTTACACTCCACACTCCACACTCCACACTTTACACTCTACACTCCACACTCTACACTTTACACTCCACACTCCACACTCCACACTCTACACTCCACACTCCACACTCCACACTCTACACTCCACACTCTACACTCCACGCTTTACACTCCACACTTTGCACTCTACACTCTACACTCCACACTTTACACTTTACACTGTGCACTCCTCACTCCACACTTTACACTCCTCACTCCACACTCCACACTCTACACTCCAGACTCCACACTCTACACTCCACACTTTACACTTTACACTCCACACTTTACACTCCACACTCCACACTCTACACTTTACACTCTACACTTTACACTCTACACTCCACACTCCACACTCTACACTTTACACTCCACACTCTACACTTTCCACGCCACACTGCAGACTGGTAACAGGGGAAATATGTACAAGACTGTTCAAATAAACTCTTGCAGAAAAGTGTTCTGCGTGACTGCATATCCATGTGTTTCGACATCTGTACCATTAACATACGTGTGAGCATTCGGGTTCGTGGGCTGCATCTTGTTTCCATCTTATTTGAAATGGACAGAACCCACTCCTGCGGAAATGGCCGAATCAGGGGCAAGTTGCTTGAAGATGCGTGAGCGGGGAAATGACTTGCTTGTCCTCAAAAGCATGCTGTGATTCAACATGTACTCAAAAAGGCAAAAGCCAATTGCAGTTGCTTTCAACGAACAGGATGTCAACTTGCCACTTGCAGTTTGCCCATGTCTGGAGGCAAGGGTCTAGTCGGCCAGCAAAAGCCTGGCAGCACACCGTCAGCATCCTCCTTGACAACCTGGCACGATGGGCTGCTTCAAAAACCGCATCGCCCCGGAAGCAGTTTCTGCAAAAGCAGCTTTCAGGAAGGCCATGAACCCTTTGGATGCAATGGCCCATGGATCGCAACATGAAAAGTGATGAATGTATTCCGAATTTTGCCATCTTGCCGAACACGCATTGCACACCTGCCAACCGCTGGCACTGAAGAGCTGTAAGCCTTGCCGATGGAGTTTGCCCAGTGGGTTGCCCCAGCCCCACCTCAGCAGATTGATCGTATCATATCATTCAGGAGAAGTAAGTAGGAGTACAACGGAATCAGCCGCATCTTTCCAAGGACTGTGCTTGCGGTGCCGTCCAAACCAGAAGACCTGCACGGAGGCTTTGGGTCCAAACTAAATCTACTTCTGGGCCCTGCCTTTCTCTGCCTTGCCCACACGAACCTCATTACCGCTCAACACTGGACAATAGGAATACAATACAATTTGCAGCATACGGAACTGAGGCAGCAACACCACTTTCAAGGACAAAGTCTGAGGGAGGGGGAGGCTGCTGTCGGCAAGATGCGGGAACCTGACTCTGCATGCTGGGCGGGGCTTCACAGCATCTGCACAGCATCTTAGGCCCCAAAGCAACCATTAAACTCATTAAACATCCAAGACCATGCAGCAGGTATCTAAGGTGTCCGGCTCGTCGGGTGCAATCATCTGCTCTTCTCAGGAGTTCAACTTCTTCCTGCGCAATGCAGCATCGGCACATCGGTGTCCGAAATTCTTTGAACTGTCTGCCAACTATGCTTTTTTGGGGCAATTCCCCAGACGATCCTGCACTGTCAGGAACTCATCTTCCAAGTGGCTACTGAAGGTCGAGCCTATCACAGATGCCTGCACGGCCTGTCCAGGTCAGGATCAAAGAACACAGCAGACCATTCAAGGTTGCAATGCGGTTGCAAGGATACTAAAAGTCGTGAAGAAACCAAAGGGACCAAAACAAATGAAACAACTTCCCAATCCTCTGTCTTTCCCTCTGCTCATCTAGGAGGTTACAATGAGTCAAGACTCACTTGGATTCATACCTGTTATGTTGGGATCTTTGCAGGTCATGTCTAACAGTCTGTCCAAATGATGATGGATCAAGCCACCCTGTCAGTCCGATTCGCTCACCAGCACCAAATTGACATTGCCCAACAGGCCCACAATGTTGAATAGAACGGAGAAATCCTTTCAGTACTTGACATACATTCCAATTTCGGTGGGTGTACGTCGGTGTACGTCTGGACAGCCAACAAAGTGAGGATCACCATGGATTTCCACAATTCAGCAGTGAGAATCAAACATGACGTGACATTCAAAGACATCGTTGATATGCCCGATATGCCCGATATGCCCGCTAAAACGGTCTCATCCAGTCACCTGCATCTCACGCTCTGCTGTGTCCTGGCCAGCCTTGGCGAACGGTGCGGCTGCGGCAGCGACATCACTGGACATCACTGGACATCACTGGCACCTGGGCACCTGGGCACCTGGTGCCAGTTGGGCACCTGGGCCCTGCCTTGGAACGGAATCTGGACTTGCGGATGCGACAGAGGTGATGAAGCAGTGCCTCGGCACCCGAAAGGCTCATGAATAAATTGAATACATACTTAAGATATCTTAAGATGTTAAAAGAAATATTTAAAGAAATTGTTTAAAGAAATTTGAGATATTTTGAGTTAATTTTAAGAGTGCATTTTGAGAACATGCAATCAGAACGAGCTATGAGATGTACGAGTGATGAGTTGGCGACCCCCACTGCTTGCGGATTGGCTGGATCGGCTGCGACCCACATGAAGGATTGATCCTGCTTGGACTGCAAAACAAAGCGCCAAATGATGAGAGTTCGCCATTAGGCGGTCGGATTGATTTCAAGGTCCTTGGGGGGGGGGCCCCCCCCCCCTCCTTGACGTTTCAAGGTTCCTCGGGGGGGGGGGTGTCCCCCCCCCCTCCTTGACGTATGAGGTACCATGCCTGTTCCTTGTTTATTTCTATCTGTTCTTCTCTTCTAAATGTTCTAACCCTTCCCCTCCTCTCCTTTCGTTCCGCTCCTTGTTCCTCCTCCTCCCCCCCCTCCTGCTACCCTCGTGTGCCCCTCCACGCCCTCCCCCCCTCCCCCCCCTCCTTATTCCTTACTCTTCTTTCCAAGGTCACCCCCCCCTCCTGATTCCTCACTATTCCTTCCGAGGTCCCCCCCCTCCCCCCCCCTCCCACCCCCCTCCCCCCCCCTCCCCCCCCCCTCTTTCTGTCTTCTATCTATCTATCTATCTATCTATCTAGCTATCTAGCTATCTAGCTATCTAGCTATCTAGCTATCTAGCTATCTAGCTATCTAGCTATCTAGCTACCTACCTACGAAGTGCTGCCCCTGTCACGCAAAATCAGCGCCCTGACCTCCTAACATCTCTCATGAACATGTCTTTTGTACTGCGCCTGCCACGCGAAATGCATCTTAATGTCCCACGCCTGCCATGGTTTTTGGAAATGCCCTCCCCCCTGCACCCCCCCACCCGCTTATATTTTGCAACCGGCGCCCCTTACTCCCTACTCCTATTCCTTTTGCTTTTTCCATCAGCATCAATGATTTGGGTTCCTATGTGCTTCTTTCTTCGTACTTCTTTCTTGGTACGGCAGCCCTCCCCCCTGCACCCCCCCACCCGCTTTTATGTTTGATTCGGCTCCCCTTCTTACCTTCTCTCATTCCTTCTTGTCATGAGCATCGTTTATTTGACTTCATCTTATTTTTCTTGATCTTCATCAATATCCATGGAAACTAGTTTCTACGTGCTTCTTTCTTGGTACGCATTGCGGGGGGAGGCGCTGCGCCCTCCCCCCTGCACCTCCCCACCCGCTTTTATTTTGTAATCGGCGCCCCTTGCTACCTACTCCTATTCCTTTTGCTTTTTCCATCAGCATCAATGATTTGGTTTCCTATGCGCTTCTTTCTTGGTACGCATTGCGGGGGGAGGCGCTGCGCCCTCCCCCCGCACCCCCCCACCCGCTTTTATTTCGTAACCGGCGCCCCTTGGTACCCCTTTTTGCTTTTTCCATCAGCATCAACGATGTGGGTTCCTATGTGCTTCTTTCTTCGTACTTCTTTCTTGGTACGCATTGCGGGGGGAGGCGCTGCGCCCTCCCCCCTGCACCCCCCCACCCGCTGTTATTTCGTAACCGGCTGCCCCTTGCTACCTACTCCCATTCCTTTTGCCTTTTCAATCAAACATCAATGAAATTTGGGTTTCTATGATGCGCTTCTTTCTTGGTACGCATTGCGGGGGGAGGCGCTGCGCCTTCCCCCCTGCACCCCCCCACCCGCTTTTATTTTGTAACCGGCGCCCCTTGCTACCTACTCCTATTCCTTTTGCTTTTTCCATCAGCATCAACGATTTGGGTTCATATGTGCTTCTTTCTTCGTACTTCTTTCTTGGTAGCACCCCCCCACCCGCTTTCATTTTGTAACCGGGGCCCCTTGCTACCTACTCCTATTCCTTTTGCCTTTTTCATCAGCATCAATGATTTGGGTTCCTATGCGCTTCTTTCTTGGTCCGCATTGCGGGGGGAAGCGCTGCGCGCTCCCCCCTGCACCCCCCCACCCGCTTTTATTTCGTACCCGGCTCCCCTTGCTACCTACTCCTATTCCTTTTGCTTTTTCCATCAGCATGGATGATTCGGTTCGTACGCGCTTCTTTCTTGGTACTTCTTTGTCCGCATTGCGGGGGGAGGCGCTGCGCCCTCGCCCCTGCACCCCCCCACCCGCTTTCATTTTGTAACCGGCGCCCCTTTCTACCTACTCCTATTCCTTTTGCTTTTTCCATCAGCATCAATGATTTGGGTTCCTATGTGCTTCTTTCTTCGTACTTCTTTCTTGGTACGGCAGCCCTCCCCCCTGCACCCCCCCACCCGCTTTTATGTTTGATTCGGCTCCCCTTCTTACCTTCTCTCATTCCTTCTTGTCATGAGCATCGTTTATTTTAGTTCATCTTATTTTTCTTGATCTTTACCAATATCCATGGAGACTTGTTTCTACGTGCTTCTTTCTTGGTATGCATTGCGGGGGGAGGCGCTGCGCCCTCCCCCCTGCACCACCCCACCCGCTTTTATTTTGTAATCGGCGCCCCTTGCTACCCCTTTTGCTTTTTCCATCAGCATCAACGATTTGGGTTCATATGTGCTTCTTTCTTCGTACTTCTTTCTTGGTACGCATTGCGGGGGGAGGCGCTGCGCCCTCCCCCCTGCACCCCCCCACCCGCTTTTATTTTGTAACCGGCGCCCCATGCTACCTACTCCTATTCCTTTTGCATCCTTTTGCTTTTTCCATCAGCATCAATGATTTGGGTTCCTATGCGCTTCTTTCTTGGTACGCATTGCGGGGGAGGCGCTGCGCCCCCCCTGCACCCCCCCACCCGCTTTTATTTTGTAATCGGCGCCCCTTGCTACCTACTCCGATTCCTTTTGCTTTTTCCATCAGCATCAACGATTTGGGTTCATATGTGCTTCTTTCTTCGTACTTCT